GATTATAAACAACAGGAAAGTCGATACAACCGTTAACAATGCGATTGTTAAAGGCGAACAAATGAGCTGGCAACGATCTTGGCGTATAGCATAAGTGATAATTGTTCAATGACGCAGTTCAATTCAATAACTTAAACATACGCAATATCACACCAATGTGTCACGAAAGCACAAAACACGCAAGCAAAATAGACTGAAATATCACGATATAAGTTTATTTCGAAAAGGGTATCGACTTTTACTATTTCTCAGTTTCTTTAGTTCCATAAAACAAAGTTAGTATGTTGCCACAATAAGAAAAACAGCAAGTTCGTCAAATTCCTTTAATTCCGTTTCCCAAGAGTTTGTATCCGTAATCTTCATTAAAGTTCAAAACTGTTGCAACAAAATATACTGTTCTCTCAAAAATTTTCCGAAAACTTTTCCTGGAAAGTAGTAATCCTCACACGGGGCACCAATATTAGACTACGCCTCTAAGTCTAACAGTTTGTGAGTCAACGAATAACTTCATAGGCAATCAGTCTCAAATGTTTAATATAAAGAATATAGAAAAGCTAAGAATAACAATGAAAACAAAGCACTCACGACCTTTAGCTTGCTTGCTTTAGTATTGGCGACTTGTGGCGTCTCTGAATTAAATACTTCGAATGGCAACAGCGACGTCTTTCAAGCGACACACGCTTCGACTTTCATCGGGAAACGGCGGCCACGATTCTTTTGGCAAGGCGGGAACGCCCACAGTAAAAAGCCTCCTACTCTAAAACAGGCAAGCTCCTTTATACCCTTTCTAAAATACAGCCAGCCAATAACAAAACAGAACATGATAACAGCCAATTAGATACTAGAATAGAACAATAGTTAAAAAGCATAAAAGTTAATAAAAGGATGTTCACGCTGATAACCACGTGGACCAGCACGTGATAGAAGTTCGATCTTCGTACCGTAACAGTTACGTTGGAAATGACCTTTGAATTGATCACGTTTTAATCATTTCATTTTCATGTGTTCGCTTAAATTTTTAACAGTTCTGTGGATATTTGATCCTTTTCTTAATGTCCATTGGTTAATTTTATGTGCATCATCATTTTAGGACACTAATTGGACATTAGCTTAATCCGATTATACAGTCATATCTAGCGTGCCAGCTTTAGGGTGGAGTGAGTCTTGAGGGGCCAGCCGCTACGAGAGCAACTTTGTTGGTGAAAGAGATTTAACGTTTTTGTGGAAGTGGAAGTCCAGAAACACTTGCCGTACCCGAGGTTCAGACTCGAATTCAAGATCATTCAAGCATCCGCTTTAAAGCTCGCAAAGATAATCTCAAGGTCGTGAGTTACCTTACTTATTATATTTTAGTAATTTAGTGGATTAGTCTCTTGATGTTACTGGTTTTTTACCGAAGAACTCGCATTTCTTTAGAATTTTTCTGCTAAATTAAGCAAAAAGGTTGACATTGGTGCCCCGTGTGAGGAGAAAAAGAAGGAAGAAGTAAATATAAAATATCTTGTAGGAATAATCGACGTTGATATTTTTGTATATATATTCGTTAGCAAGACGTGAACATTGGCCTTGGAGTTTTTCACAGTCGTAAGTGGCAAGATTCGCTCTTTATTGAATTTCCGTTTAAAGTGACAATCCTTTCACAGCATTGATCGAATTATTAGCTTTATGATTGACACATACACTTTGGTATTGATTACCCAGTTGCGAATTTAGATTGGCAATCTTTGCTTTCATGTTTGTTGCTATTTTAATCGCACTATTGTGCTTTCCGTCCTGTTTTCTTATCGTTGAAATTTTTGCGTTAAAACTATGTCTGAAGATATGCAGGCGACAGTCAATGAGTTGCAAAATCAAATGACAGCTGTACACGCTGCTTTGGAGGGTAAAGGACAGGCAGGTCTCTTTAAACCCCGTTCTTTTAGTGGTTTGCCCAGTGAAAATATACACGAATGGCTTCTTGAATTTTATCAGTATGCACAATTTTTTGCCTGGACTAACGCCAAGAAAGTGAGGGCAATGACACTTCTTTTGGATGGCCCCGCCCAAGCATGGTTAAAGACCCAGTCCCCGGAAACAGCCAATAATCTTAATGCTTTGTGCGATGCATTCAAAGATCGTTTCGGTGCCAAAAACCTACTACGGACCGATGAAATATTCTGCAGGACCAGCGAATTAAGGAATTGGAGGGGCAAGTTGATTTACTTGTTTTATTGGCTTCGATGTCAAAATCAGCTTCAAATAGCCAGTTTTCAAACGTTCATGCAGTTTCGCCCAACCTTTCTGTTGAACAAGCTGTTGTAAGGGGGAACCAGCAACAAGAAGTGAGCTGCTTGATTTTCAAAACAATGTTTTGGCAGCCCTTGATGCAAATTTTTCTTCGTTTAACAACCAAAATGGCAGGTCCAAGTTTCCTCAGAAAGATAATCGTCCTTTTTCATGTGGTCGAAATTTACGTACAACAGACGGCCAATCTATTTTCAATAAATGCCGCCGCGTGGGTCATGTGACATGCTATTGTCGTTCGCAATCTTTCCAGGCTCAAAGCCAACAATTTTCCAGGCCAAAACCGCAATCCTAGTCAAAGCATTATGCCACTGGTATCGTTCATGAAAATTTAAACGGGTCAGGACCTTCCCAGTGGGGTCAATGAAGGTCCCTTCAAACAACTCTGGTGGAAACGCCAATTTTTCTAATTTTGATAGGGATATTGACTTGCAAAAATGGACTGCACAGCGTAAACAGATGTCGAATATTTCTTGGGAAAAGGTAGACAATGCGATTAAGAAAAATGACACTGTTTCTTTTTGTTTTATCAACCCTGCATCTAAACATTCTATTGACGATAAAGATGTGGAATTAACTCAACAAATTCCTTCGATTTCGTTAACTAGCTTTTATAATAGGCCCTATTCGCACTGCATCTAGAAACCTGACAATGCTAATCCCTTATTGTTCTATCTTCAAAGACGGCAAGGGTTTGTCAGGAAGTAGTTTAATTGGTAGAGTGCGAGCAGCAAAATCTGAAATCTGACAAATTGTAAGGTTTCGACTAGTTGGTCAAAGGTTCCGTCGTAGAGCTCTGGCAGAATTATGTTAACACCAATAAAAAGCCCAGGGTGCTATTTGAAATCATGTCACAATTTAAAAAGGTACAATTTCTTAGGCCCCGTTTACACGAGAGAAAAAGGAACGGATCCAAAAGATCCGGACCTTTTAGGTACGATATGGGTACGATCCACAAGCGTTTACACGAGATCGGATCCTAAACTATAGAGCGTTTACACGGGAACGGACCAAAATCGAATCTTTTTTTTAAGCATGCGCAATGACAAGGTGAAATGCAAAATGAAGAAAACTTAGAGACTGTTAGGTCGAAATACGAAGACATTCTCCTTCAATTTATCGAGGCCTATCTAGAAATAGCAACAGAGTACTTTCCAAATACCCAGGATAAAAAAAATTACGAAAGAAAAGGTGAAAAAAAATTAAACCATGATGAAGACAGGGTTCAGAAAGGCTTTCGACTGTGGAAGAAGGAGCGGGGGTGGGAGAGTAATTTCTTTGTTGTATGATGAGTGCTGCGTACAATTGAAATGGCCTCCATTGACCCCAGCAACAGTCTAGATTTACTGCCGTGCCTTAGCGGATCCGTACCTTCCTGTTTACACGGCGCCGATGAAGGTACGGATCCAAATGGATTCGCTTTCGAATCGTATCCAAAAAGGTACGGATCTCTCCCAGAAAAGATACGGATCCTACCGTGCCCGTGTAAACGCAAGGCCTATCGTAGCCAGTTTGGGTACGGATCTATGCGGATCCGTTCCCGTGTAAACGGGGCCTTAATGGCTACCTGAAGGCGGGTTTACAGGATCGTTTTTCCTTAAATTTTTTTTCGATATTGGACCGCGATGAACGACAACGATCGTGTAAAAGGCTAAATTGCTGAAAAAAGTTTGATGCTATCTGTCGTTTTTAATCCGCTTAATTGGCGATAATAATCCATCGTTGAAGATTTTATTTTGACTCCGGGTCAAAATAAAATCTCTACCATCATTTTTTTTCAAAGGGGCCGACAAATTCTGACGTCATGTCAGCCTCGGGGAGAGAATTCGAGCTTTTTATTAAGTATTCGCGTGAAGAAAAGATTGGATTCATGCTCTGAGAACTAAAATAGTCAGGGAAGGTAGTTTAAACTGGCAGGGGACTAGTTTTAGATAAAATGAGGTTCGGGTTTCACAAGTTTTCTCTGAGCATGGCCCGTCCTTAGCTACACATTAAAGGTTTTGAGCAACAGAAATAGAGAACAATCCATCCAATAGACAAAATGCACAAATAAAAAATTATCTGGACCTTCACGCGAATACTTAATAAAAAGTCTCGAATTCTCTCCCCGAGGCTGACATGACGTCAGAATTTGTCGGCCCCTTTGAAAAAAAATGATGGTAGAGATTTTATTTTGACCCGGAGTCAAAATAAAATCTTCAACGATGGATCATTATCGCCAATTAAGCGGATTAAAAACGACAGATAGCATCAAACTTTTTTCAGCAATTTAGCCTTTTACACGATCGTTGTCGTTCATCGCGGTCCAATATCGAAAAAAAATTTAAGGAAAAACGATCGTGTAAACCCGCCTTGAGAACGTGTTAGATAACGATGCAACATCTCAGAAAACTGCCTAATGCGAACAGAAGTCTGACAAACTTTGTCAATCTTGAAAAAGTTTTCTTAATTGGCGTGAGAATATCGGGTTTGACAATCATTATCATATTTTCAGTGCGAATAGGGCCATAGATGCTCAAAGCGAAATCATAATTCCAGCTAATTTAGAAACCTGTCATCAACCGCCTGTTGTGGGTCTTATTGAAGCTTTGCCAAAGCTTTCTGATCGCTATAATATTTTTTTTATATCACAAATAAAAACAACTCAAAATTAACTACATATAAATATTCTGTGTCTGCCGTGGCCGGGAAAGACATGATGTCATCGAGCTCCAACTACAACAGCACTTGGTGAGGTATCTTTTCGTTTGCTGAACCCTTTGGACACGCCTGTTATTTTATACAAGTGCTCTGTCATTGATAAATTTGAACAAGTAAAGTCACCTGACGATATTATTGCGTTAATTTTTGATAACGAGTTTTCCACAAAAGAAGCTCCTTCACAGACTCAATTTAGCCCGCAGTCTTTTACGACTTCTGAGCCTATTAAAGATCTATATATGCAGTTTAAATCTTTGTCTAGCCCTACACCAACAGTTGCAGAAAACGTTCAACTTGTTGAACTTTTGAAAAGTTATTCTGATATTTTTGCGTCGTCCTCCTTAGATCTAGGATTTTAAGTAGCCAGAGAAGAGACAGTGTGTGTTTAGTAGCGAAATATATACATAACATTTTAGTATTTACACGAAAACTAACATAACTCAGCAGTAAGCTCGTTAAGAATGTCAAAAGCGATTAATAAGCAATTACGAATGTCATGTGATTGTCATGTGACTCTGATTGTCATGTGACTCTACTTGACAAGTAGACCAAATTTCCTTAGGAAAGTTACCCTGGTACAAAGCACTGAAACGAGGCAAAAAAGGCGTGGTCTCTTTGATAGCTGGCGCCACCACTGCATAGAGCCCCCCTTGTTAAAATTTTACGACTACCTCCCTGGTCCAGGCTGTCTGGGTTGTCACAAATAGCAAAATCAGCATACCAACTTAACCTTCGATACCTCTTGCTTGAAAAGAGATGAGCAACGAGGGCAGTAACTCACTGATGGACAAAGACATCTTTTTATAAATCAAGTAACTATCTGATTAAGTAACTAATATAGAAATAAAATTATTCATTCACTACAGAAATGGGGCCTGGATTGATTGCATAAATTATAGCAATGCCTTGTTAATGCACGGGGAATGCTGGCATGACCCGACTAAATATTGGGAATCTCTGGCTTCTAATTGAGAAGTAATGAAATATTTTTTTAGCTGACTAAGTATTGGGTAGTAATGACATTGGAAGTAGGAAAATATGTACGTTGTCACGTTAAGAAATCATACTTTGTCTCTATGAGGGCTGTAAACACAGCAACAAAGCACAATACTGTGAGGCCATGCACAAGGCCAAAAGACAGAGGAATACTGACATGATACAGGTAAAGTGCGATGATTTGACCAAACATAATACCAAACTGGCCAAAAGCGTCAGATAAGCCGCACCCAAACGTCCTAGAGGATGTAGGAATGAGTTCTGCTCTGTAAACTAACAAAACATTATTAAGCGTCGAAGAACCAAGGACTGTGAAAGCTAGTGCCATAAGCAGCGGCCAGCCACGCAGAGGCCAGTAAAATGGTACGAGGCAAACAGCAAGGTAAACAACCAAAATCTTCAAAGTAAGCTTTCTTGTTACATTGTTCAACAACCAATAAGACGCAACAAAGGACAATAAAACAGCTGTTTCCACAGACCAACGGTATTTGTACGTTAGATTTTGAAAACATTTTCCACATCCCAAAACATCAGAATTTTCACCAAACTGCATTGACCCAAAGCGCATCGTTCCAGAGACAACATCTCCGTAAAACTGCAAAAGTGAAAGCAAAGCTATTCTTTCTGCTAATTCTCTCCTTGAAAGTTTGCATTCAGATTCAAGTTTTCTCTTTGCCCCTTCTTCTTGGTATTCAGCTTCGGCACAGGCTTCTCCCAATGGAACATATCCTTTTTCACACCCGTTCATTTCAGCTATCCTTTCCAGAGACTTTTCGGCTTCTTCACGTTTTCCTGCAGCTGAAAGATATCTGGGGGATTCTGGCAAGTAAAAGACTAGAAATGTTGACAACGCAATTGGTATTGTTTCTGCAAAAGTATCAAACCATCTCCAGTTTAGATACTTTAATGTAACGCCAGCAACTACAATCCCATATCCACATCCAAGGCAAAACGCGAGTTCAAACAGTGACATAAACTTACGTCCAGATAGTGGCAAAATTTCCATTGTATATGTAAAAATAATTAAAGTGCTTGAGGACACAAGACCGATAAATCCGCGAATTGTGGACAACAATAAGACACTTGATGACAACGAATAAAGTAAGGCCAAATACGAATTCGCAACAGAAGCCAGAATCAAAATCTTACGTCGACCATATATATCTGACAATTTACCAAGCAAAATCGATCCTATAATCTTCGTAAAGGCTTCTGGTAGAACAATCCATGCTGCGTTAATGTAACTAAGGCTCCAATGGCATCGAAGATACGGCTCCAAAATTGCGACAAGACTTGTTGTGGATGAATACGAAAAGTATCTCAGGCACAAAATCGCTAGAGCAACAATTTGGAATTTTCCAAAACCAATCCTTTCTAGCTTCAAACTTATGTCGACTTGCTTGTTTTCCATAGCCCTCTAAAGACTCTGATATACGTGTACACTGTTCAGTGAAACATTTATGACTTTCTGCTTTCAAGTCCCTCCGTCTCAAGGATGTTTCACTGTACTTCACAATTGTCGAGTGATACAACAGAAAAGAATTTAATACATATCCAAAACAGCAGATCATGTGAAACTAAGCGGTAAAAATATTGCCGTGGAATACAAAGGATTGCCAGACCCGCTAAGTATCATTGTTTTTATCGTGTGGGAAGGTCAGTGTTTGAATTGATTGTATCGTTTCAGTGTCCTTTAAGGCCATATTGGTATCTATCCTTTTACTTCGGTAGAAACGCGTAGAAAAAGGTTGCGATGGTCGTTAACTTAGTTACAAAACTTTACTAAACAAAAAACTATGCAACTGAAATGTGGCTTTCTGGCGCAATCTGACTCTATCCTTTTACTTCGGTAGAAACGCGTAGAAAAAGGTTGCGATGGTCGTTAACGTAGTCACAAAACTTTACTAAACAAAAAACTATGCAACTGAAATGTGGCTTTCTGGCGCAATCTGACGTGCGAAGTTTGACGCAAAGAAATCAAACTACCTAAATACCAAAATAAATTTCATAATATAACTTAATGTACTAGATACTTTTTGAGTCGAGTTAGTTGTCTTCAGCCAGTTGAGCTATGGATCGCTTGCCACGTCTTTACAGGAAAGTTTTAATAAGAAACATTTAAAAACCATTAAAACTTTTCAATGATTGGAAAAAAATGTGAAGGAAATTGCTGAGCATCAACACAGCAACTAAGCATTTACTAGGGTCTTAGCAAAGTTTTCAGAAACTTGTACTACTCCGTTTATAAGTGGAAAAAGTAACCGAATCAGGATCACCATCGTTTTGCACGTAGTTCTCCGAGCAAGACATTGTACAACATATAGGATAACAATTTGGCAGCAACGACATTTCACGCACGTCGAATACTATAAGTTTAGTTTTTATAATCGATGCTTTATTCGTGGAGCAGAAACAGTAAAAATAAGGGAAAAAAGTACGAGGACAAAGTTTAGGTCTACAAATTGTCCTTCAACCGTGCGTTTGAATGGACTGAAGACAATGAAGCCCCCATAAAAAGGAAATGCAGTCCAGAACAACTACATTTAACTCTACTAACAATGTCAAAAACTGCTACATAAAACAAAGACTAGACTGCAACTCTACTAGCATTACTCTCGCATTACAATGCAAACGCTGTTTAACCAACGGACATGAGAACTGCCAATACATCGGACAAACAAGCAGACGATTGAAAGACAGATTTAATGAACACAGACGAGACATTGTTAACAAAAAAGTAGACAAGTCTGGCGTTGTAGAACACTTTTGCAGCCCGGAACATACCATCAAAGACATTACTATCACACCGTTACTGCAATGCAACTCAAACGACAAACAAGAGAGTGTTCGACGAGCAATACCTCATTGGCTTGGCAAACACTCTCACACCAAATCCTCTTCCACAACAAATTCTCTGTCTATAATTGGACCTGATGCCGCAGTACCCTATTGCTAGGTCTATTCAGCTTTAGGGAAACTTCAGGGAACAGTGGCGTACCCAGGGCTGCAACAGGGGGGGGGGGGTCTGGGGCGTAGCCCCCAGAAATATTTTTGGGACCACGCCCTTCAAACACTCGCAAATGCGGGGAAACGCCCTTTTTGCAAAATTTTCCCCCATTTTTTGATTTATGTTAGCTACGGTAAATAGCAAAGCATTTTACAATTGTTATTGACACAAGCATACAGTATGCTACATCGTTTTACATCGTTTTTGGACAAATCTCGAGGTCCATATTTTAGAAAAGTGGGGGGTCCGGACCCCCCATTCCCCCCTTGGGTACGCCACTGTCAAGGAAAGTTTTCATCTGGGCCTATTTCAGGATTGGTCCTTATGCTGCAGCGCTAAAAGCCCCTATCTTAATCTCCCTTGCCTGCTGCAGAATTTCGGATTTGGTGCGCTTTGGTTGCTTGCGTAACTAATTGCGAGTGGCAGACAGTTTCCAAAACTCTTTTGTGAGCCAAGGGGAAAATTTGCAGACACCCATTTATTGCCATAGGAGCATGCTTTTCTAGATTAAATGCAAAGGTGTTGGACTTGATTTATAAAACGTGGCTTTTCATCATATATAAACATGAAACGATAACCCCTTAATCTTGATTTTACCACGATTGCAGTGTACACTGTTTAAGGATGGAATAATTTGTTGCTTGATCTTGTAAGAAAGTGAGTTGTTTTCTCGCACTAAATTCAGCGAGACTCTTGAGGTGGACTTTTTTACAATGAGACTATTGACGTGGACCAGAACATCTGACTTGTTTGGGAACCAGAGCCTAACCAAAGGGACCTGAAATTAGCGAAACACGTAAAGACACGGATAGATAGGCAATTTTCGAAAAATCCCCTTCAGCTTGCGTTAGGCTCTACCAAAAATAAAAGACCTTAATAAGGCTGACGCAAGAAGCCCCAATGTGAAAAAAGCAGAGAAACAATACGAGGATGCTAGTTTCTTTTGCGATATATTTTGAGGCATCCACAGCAAATATGTGACAGTGTGCAACTAAAGCTCTATATAATACAAGTCGAAACGAATCATTTCCCAAAATAAATAGCATATTCGTCAGGTTTAGATAAATATATAGTCATTCCGTTGATTCCATATATTTTCTCGGACAGCAAACATTCTGCAAAGATAAAAAAATTCCATTTACTCGAGCAATATTCATACAAGCAACATATGGATGCCAGTAGCTGAAAGAGATCGGAAGGTAACATTAAAAACCGCATTTTCTGAATAAAGTTTTCTTTCTCTAAAAAGTGCCCTGTTCAGCTCTAAAAATAACGCCCCTTCTTTATCTACCCACCACCAATAATCAAGGCACACAACTTCAATTTAATATTTATTTGTTATATTTAATTTGTAATAATTACTGCATTGACGTTGAATTTCAATTGGTTAATTTTGTTTTCTAGTTCGTTCTTCAAAAATATATCATTGTCTTTCATTTTTTTCGATGCTTTGAAGAGTCCTGGGAACAAAATGACCGTTCCTTAATACCTCAGACCCGTGGCCGAAGCTGCCCTCTCTATCAAATCCTCTTTAAGAATTTTGTTTGGAAAAATAAGCCCCTATCAGGCATCAATTCAATCTTTTGCGCCTCTGATTTACAGTCATGGGCTAACAAGTTTCAAACGCTACTTGGTCACAGGGCAACTGAGAACTTGGTTTTGCTCAGCGGCTTCTATAGCGCTAATTCAATCAACAAATCAATGAGCTGTTGATATGAAAATATTTCGAGTGTGTTGATTTGCGATGGAATCACAGAGACTCTAGACTGCAGCAAAAACAAAGGCTGGATTGCTGCTGTAATATTTAAAATCGAAGAGACACTAACACGTGGCTTAAAACTCACCTCATTTGCCGTTCATCAAAAACGTAATTCTATTATAGCCATCTCTGTAGGTAAACAAAGATTCCCACCATGGTTTTCCAATCTGTACTGCCACTGCAACTAGGAATATCACCCCAAATACCAATGCAGCAATAAGGGAAGTTGTAGTTGTGTGGGACACTTTTTGTGGCAATGAGGTATTTAGTAGAGGAACGGGTTTTTCTTGGTTGCTCGCTTTCATAACTCTTCCTAAAATCAACAAAAAACCATTTCAGATAGACTATCTATCACAATCATACCAGTGTTGAATTTAGAACTGGCGAAAGAGATTTGCAGTAAAAAAGTATCACCAGAAAGAAAGAAATTCATCACATTTGTCATGCTACCTTCGTCATTGCAGCAATTTTTACCATCTCATTATCTAACAAAAGAATAGATTAAAGGTGAACAATACAAAACAAATGACACTGCCGTTGAATCTCCATGTAAAATTTCACCACAAAACCGTAAATCTCCCACCAAGTTAATGCTAAGTTCCAAGATTGTCAAAGCGTACTTGAGATCAGCCCATTGGATCCGCCTGAACTACACAACACAATTTTCTCTAATTGATCAAATTAGCCCCCTTTCAAGAAAATTACACTAAGGCGCAAAAATTGATCAAAAATGACTGTTTCAATTTCTCAAATCCAACTTGGACTTTTTCAACGTTTTTCCGTCTTCGTTCTTTTGGGCTCATTAACTTCTTTTCTTCGGAATGACTTCGCTAGGATTTGTGGCCCAATATTACACCACAAATATTACAACATAAACGTAGCCACAATATTGCAGCACAGAATAAGCTTATGCCAGTCTGTATAAGACCCCCAAAAAATCTTTTAAAATGATTCACAATGGATATTTCTGAGTCGGAGTAGTTTTCTAACAGCCTCAACTTCATTTCTACAGCAGTCTTGGCTTGATCAACACAGATTAACCCCTCATGGCGATTTACTTTGACCTTTTAAATCTATAGTGACACCCACTAGAACTAGAACTAGAACATGTTGATAAAATGACTCCATGGCAATGGAATGGAAATGCATTGCACTCTTCATTTGATACATGTAGACGTAGGCTCAATAAATTTTCATCATTTTTTTTAATCAAATATTCTATAAAGTAGCTTAGGCTAAAACAGTACTTAGAGAAAGATTAGAAAAAGAACAATTTAAGTGAACAATCACATGCGGTATCAATAAACGAGGCATTAATTTTCTAAAGAAATCAAGTTATGAAACAAACATTTTAGGGGGCAAATACAATTGTTAACACAAAAACGGAAAACAGCTTTTAAAAAAAATCTGTAAATGTATCCTAATTTTGTTTGTGCTTTGAAATTAATAAGTGTTTTATGTTATCTTTAAATGCAAACTTGGCAATTGATTTCTGCTATCATCTGTGTTTGTTTGCTAAATTGAATGACTGGAAGCTACTATAAACCTAGCCATAAATTACAATCTTTTTTCATAACAATAAAAAAATTTTTAAGAAAAAAACTTGGGAGTCACAAATTCCAAACCTTTCATCTTCTTATGCTTGAGGGTGGAATTTTTAGTCTTGACTGTAGATGAAGAAGTATGTTTAGTGTTGTTTTTCCCTGAAATGAAAATAGAACCAACTTGCCAATTTGTCCTGTGTCCTGGAAAGGTTTCTTTGAATTATCTTACTGTGCTCAGGCAATAACAGGCATCAAGCAGCAAAAATTACATAGAATCTGATTTGGTGGTGTAAGATTGCCTACAAATCTGAATAAAAAAAACAGATGTTCTCTACTAAATTATTTATTTTTGCTATATTGGATTTACTAAAAATATAAAAATCCCTACAAATAAACACTATTTTCTGATATACATCATCCCTTTTAGAGAGAATTTCAGCCAGTTTTTTCCAGTTAACTCTCACCCGGCCCTCTGATAGAAATTCTGGGTCTCTGTTGAAAATGATAGCCTGCTTCTGACCAGCGGTTGTATTTCGATATTTACTAACATTCTTTAAAAAATTATATGAAAGTTCTTTATAGACTTTTCATGATACTTTTGCAAATAAATTCCAGGTTATTGGGTGAAGATATTCAGTATAGCATACCTAAACTACCTTTAAGTGACTTTTGTGAATCATGTAAAGACGGAGAATCTTCTTTTTTTGTAATGGTTGCATGCTCATGTAGATCAGGCGATTTTCTCATAGAAACAGATTTGATTGCTACTGTGTTTTCAGCATCATTGCTGACAGGATATTCTTCTGTTGTCTGAAGGAAATTCAAATTATAGTTATGCTATCAAAAAAGAAATAACACTTATAAAACGGGACTCAAAAATAGGCATATAGGTGTATGATCATACCAAGAGATGAAGGCATTGTACAGGAAAAAATATAGTCAGTGCGAATTTGTTTGGTAAACCACCTGCTAACTTAATACATTTTCCAGCCCTGTATACTTTTTGTCAACCCACAAAAACTTGGGATTGTCATAAACATATTGCCTGAAACAAATGTAAAGAGATTGGCATCCTAAAAAAGTCAAAACCAAGGATCCCTGTCACTCTATGCAAATGTTAAGGGGGGAATACACAAGGCATTTAATTTGCCCAAAAATCCTTTTTGTATTTCCTAATCTTTGTTGATTGCTATTGTTCAGCGAGTTGCCAAGAGGATTTCAAGGTCAGTTTCCAATAGTTCCTTGCCAATTTATGAACAGCACAAAAACATGGTGCACAAATCGCAGTAATTAGGGGCAAACTATAAACGCTAAATTTTTTTCTATGATTAACCCACTTCTAGCGATGCCTATATTTATGCTTTTTCCCTTTCATTCACAATTTGAAAAACAATTACAGCAGCCTGTTACTGTATCCAATTCAAACCACAAGCAAATAAAACAAAAAACTGATAAAGAACTCTCTAAGATTTACAAAAACAAAGCATTTTTTATTAGGTATTTTATGTCTTCAATAAAAAATAATTTACCCATAAGTAAAATGAATTTGTAAGTAACAAATAATTTCATAAAATTTTAACCTGTGCCTTTAAAGAGGTTTTCTTTTCAAGTGGTGATGCATTGGAATTTATACCCTCTTGTGGTGTATTTTGATGACTTCCTGTAATGATAACGACAAGTTTAAAAAAACAGCTTGTAAGCAGGAATAAACTTTCTGACAAACATGTCAATCCAGCCTGTATCTGTTAGTTTTTGCTTATTTACCCTTTTAGTGCTTACGGTGGGGTCTCACCAAAGAGAAACTTATAATTACTCTTTGGTGAAATATTTATAATTAAATTTATAATAAGGGAAAATCACATATTTGTATGGAAACTATGTTGTCATTACTTTGCTTCTGTTTTCAATAACTTTGAATATCATTATCAAATGTATCCGTTTTTGAGCGTATCAATCGGAACCCAAAATCAAAAAAGATTTCATTCAGTTCCTTTTTGCTACGAAAGCGGAGTAAGGAACAGGGCCTGATTTCCAATGGACTCACACATTATTAAATGCCACTTTGCCATTTGTTGGTTACAGGGCCTTCTTTTTGTTTTATTTGCTTAAACTATTTTTGTCTGTTTTTTCCTTTAACTTTGATGAACAGAATTCAAACTTTCTCATATTTCTATAGTCACTGAAATCTCTCTATGTCGCACAGTACCTTTCACAAAAACTGGTGAGGGAAACATGGACATAACTATACAATGTGTAGCATTCAGTTCATCTATCAAAAGTTTTGTCATGTTTAATGATTCAATAGAAAAAACTTTATTGCCTTGTGTTAAAAATTAAATTTGATTCGCGTGCCCCACTCTTATCATGTGAGTTTTTGGCTGTGAGCTTTGATTTTTGAACGTAAAAGCCCTGCACTCAATTCTGAGGCAAGTTTTGACTTGATCCTTTTTCTACCCCAAAAACTACCAAAAAACAAACAAATCCAAATAAGCTGTCAAAATGCTTTGGCAAATCTTTCTATAGGTTCAAGGATATTGAGACATGGGCCCACAAGTCATCAATATGTGCATCAGTAGAAAATCAACAGAAGAAAGAAGAAGAGGAGAAAGCAGACAGAATAGCAATAAAGGTTATGTTAAAACTATTATGAAATTCATGATTGACTAGGAGTAAATTTGCAAGTATTTAAGAACAGAGCAGAATTTCAAAGCATTCATTTTTGGAAGGAGCTTTTAGGACTGTTGGTAAGGATAAATATCCAGTCTAACATACAGAACAATCTAAAAAAGAAGAGGGTAAAACAAATGTTTCTATAAAAATATATAAGTTTTTCAGTTACAGGTCTTTCAACAAATATGATAAAAGCATTCTGATAACCAAAAACCTACCAATAAAATAAATCAAACATACCTATCGAAGATTGTCCTTTATTCACATATCCAGTCATTGTGTGCTCATATGGTAAAATCTTGCATTTTTCTCTTGATTTACAGATAAACAAGAAGCACTGTTCACCATTCCTCCAGATGTATGTATTGCATCTTTTGACATTGCAGCACAGTAAACTGCAGTCTGCTAAGGAACTAGCTGATGTTGCATTGATCAGTTGTGCTGGTTTTGTAGGTTGTTTCAAGTCTAAAATCCCTCTTACTGGTTCTTCAGTATCACATTGTTTGTTTGACAGAGCAATGGCTTTTGTTACTGCATGGCAAATACTAACCACAATAATTAGCCACTGGTTCATCATTCATTTATTGAAATAGCAAAATGTGGATTAATTTTCAAGCCATTGGTTCTTGGTGGTTATGACCAAAAGAACCTAAAATTCAAAAGGGGAAGTGTTCAAACCAGACACAAGTTGAAGCAAAGGAGAATAAATAAACAAGATACTCTAGAAATCAACAAGACTAGGACATCATTTGACCCCAGCAAATTGGAATTAGGATTCCTCTGCCCTAATGCATTAGCATACCATTGTGTTCCACATATAATTGTGATAATAATTTTTTGTATGTTGTGGAATATAAAATATAACGAACCCGTGCCAGAACCTCTTAGCATAGGGTCACTCATGACCATTGCTAGCTATTGTGCTCAAGGGGACAGCTCCCAACCACCAGATGGGAAAAGCTCCTTTTTTAGAATTGAATGGCTCTGAGGTTAATCATATCAAACTGTACATAGGGCTATGGGTCAGGAAGAACATCCAAGAGATTTATGAATGATAGGTAAATCCCTTTACAAATAAACTCCAACTGTTTCAGTTTTCTTTTTACATTTGTTGTTGTCCTTCTTTGATATTTTTGAAGCATGCATGTATTGTATTGATTATCTTTATCAATGATATAGATGTTACTTTCATAATTATATACATAACGCATTATCTTGGTAATATTATTTCATGAAATTATGCTCTAGATCAAAGGACACCCATATTTAACTGTGATCTAGCTGCTAGCTTAGCTGCTGCTAGGATCAACATATTTTCACTGCGACTACTTGAATATAGTTGAAACCCCTTCTCAATTTGATATTACAAATGAAGGCAGTTCATAAATACAGCTACTCCCTTCTACAATCTACATATTTGCAAGCAATACCTTCTCCACTTTCACTGGAACGCATCACTTTTTCGTAGGAAGAATGTGTGCATTACTTGGTCATAATAGCAAAAATGGGCCTAAAAAGCAAACACTAAAACGAAGTTTTCACTGTTTCCGTTTGGTTTGATGCAGGGAGCGGGTTACTAACAACATTAAATTACCCCCATTAAATGAAAAGTAATTCATAAAGAATAAATGAAAGAAAATGCTTTGAAAAATAAGTAACAAACCTTAAACTGAAACATCCCACAACTATCTTTGAAGAAAGATTCGCCAAAACATAGCATGATAGCACCTGCGTAGGCGTTGGGCGCTAAACTCCAGGCCAGGGAAATGGAACAGCGTAAATCTACATCTCATTTCATTTCATTCATTTCATATTGATAATTCAAACTTTTATATACTAATAATATGATTTAATATTAAATAGGCAAGCTTAGGACACTTGGAAAAAACTCAGAAGAGCTATCGAGCCAAGTGCCCTTTACACAATTTAACAACAATTTGCAATATAAATGAAACATATTATGTTAATAGTAGCATAACAACAACAGCTAAGAAATAAAATTAGATAAAATAAGAATATTAAACTGAGCAAAATGGAACTAAAGTAACAAAATTAGGTTTGGGAAATCAGGATACTTGCTAGTTTATTACTCAAAATTAAAATTAAAATTAAGATCAAAAACAAAAAGATCAAAATACAGAATACCGTAAATCATCGAATTGGCCCCCCTTGAAAACGCCCCCCCTCGAATAAGCCCCCACCCTAGAGCTACAAATTATCAATAAGCCACCCCTCGAATAAGCCCCCACTGCTACTGTAAATTCTCGAATTGGACCCCTCCATTTGATGATTTTTGCCATCTGAGGTTGCCTATGGCGTTTTATTGAATTACCACAACAAATTCATACTTCTGGTAGTAATTAATTAAATGCTCATAAAGAAATTCCTACTAGAATAAACGAGGTCTTTTAGTAATGTCTTCTTAATGTCTACAATAATTGTATAAGCCCCTCCTCTTATAAGCTCCCCTCGAGTAAGCCCCCTTCCAAAAATATCACAAATGAATAAGCCCCCAGGAGGCTAATTCAAGGATTTACGGTATTCAGGCTAAGAAACATTCAGATTATAAGAATATTGTAAGAATATTGCACAACGTCAGTCTCAGATCGAATATTCGTGTCTAATTTATAATGAGGGGCAAATCACTATAGCAAAATCCCTATTGTTCTCTCTGAAAATCCCCGAGAGTCCTTTGGTTTACGGGGAAATTTCCTACACCATAATATTCGTACACCATAATAAATTTCGTACACCACCATAATTTGCAAAAGTGAGCCCCCCCCATTTTTAGGCAGTTGTGGGGGAGGGGGCTGCTAGCCCCTCACCTTATTGCTGAACTATGATATTCAGGCAGTGGCATCAAAGATAATGGGTAAAAACTACCATAAAAGTTTGCCAATTTGTCTAGAGCCCCCCCCCCCCACTCAAAAAACATGTTCCGGCGTCTCCGAAGAATATTTAAAGAATATACTCACGCTCAAAAAGAAAAATTCTTAAGATAATTGAGGCAGGACAAAATTGATGGGGCCTCTCGGTAGTCGTCACTCTGAATGTAACATAACATCAATGAAAACATAATATATTATTATTGACAAATGACAACCAATAATTTCTCACATTCTGCTCTCGTAATGTTTGCAAAAATTATTTTCAACGGTTAAGGTCATAGTTATAGTCATGGAAATAACTATTATGTTAAGTTAAGCTACTTTAATGACAAATTGAGGAAAGGAGTAAATTGAAAGACACAAAAACAACTCTGAGCCAGACTACTCTAACTTTTTTCTGCCAGAAACCCTCCTTCACGTTGTTGCTGGCGGCAAAACCTACCGGAACAAGGCATTTTGGCAACATAACTCCAGTGGCATTTTTACGGGGAGAGGGGAGGAGGGCCATGGCCCTCCAGAAATTTTTTTGGCCCCTTGCTTGGCCAGCCCAGTTTTTACAAAAGTTACTTTTAAAAATTTGATGTTTTCTCCCATAGCTGGTCAATCGTTTTTTGACTTTGTTAGGGTTGCTCTCTTCTGTTTGCTCAATGTGATTCTTTATTGCTTTTATTTAACAACTAGGGGCCCTGACGGTTGGTTGCGCAGGGTGAGTCAAAGCAAGCTTTTCCGCATTCCATTGAAAACTCTATTCGCCCTGGAACCCAGCGTAGGGAAGTACCAATACCAAGATACCCTGGCAATCTACCATTTATATCGAAATTCTATGATTTGAAATTCTATGTAACCGAATGATTTGCTTGTTTTTAGAAGTATAGTTCTTCTGTTGATATTCTAATGTTCATGCATTATTGTTAAACAGATAAAAATCTAGGGAGAAAAGGACCAAAGTTACCTTTAGTTAAAGAACAAAGGGTCCCCAATCTTTACAGGCCCCCAGCAACATTGTTTCTCTTCAATGGGCTTAAACCTATGAATGTTGTAGATATTTAAATGTAATTTAATGTCATCCCTAGAATGTAATAGTTCCAAACCTTGTCTTGCCACCACCCATGGCGGTGAGCTTTACAAAGCCCTCGATCGATCTTAACATTGAGTTTCATCAGCCCTGAAACAGTTGTACTAAGGCCATGCTTTTCTAGGGGGCGCCAAAATTGGTGCTGTGTAGCCAATTTTGAGCCACTACACCATTGCTTTACATTCTACTAGTTCGAAAAGTAATAGCGAGCGCTGGCCCCGGCCCCTTATAAGACTAGATTCGCCACTGCATAACTCTATCTTAAACTTTCTAGCTACGTCTCTAAAAGCTGTTAACGAATTTAGCATCTACGCTGATATACCTGCCTATCTTTCACCATCAATCTTAACAGGAGAAAACCTTCGCCCATATTATCTCTTGTAGACAAACAGCAATCATCTCTACATCTTAGAGCTAGCTGTTGGTTTGAATCCAATTTTGACATAAATGCAACAAGAAAACACAGGACGTATGCTCCGCTCTTATCTGATTTACAGCGGCAATTCAAATGTGTCTCTTTTGTGAAACTTTATATGAGTTCTCTTATTATCTTCGGCAATTCCTGCAACTCATTCTTCAACATGTCTTACTCTCTCTCTCTCTCTCTCTCTCTCTCTCTCTCTCTCTCTCTCTCTCTCTCTCTCTCTCAATCAATCAATAACAAAAACAGTATCTCATCTCTAAACTTTCCAGCATTGCCATCCGTACACCGACTATATATATTTCTTGCAAGAATAGACCATGGACAAACCCAGAATTACATCCTCGATTGTTACAGTTTTTTCTTGTAAAACCAGGCAAGCCAATTCCAAATTAAATTACCTTGTAATAGTGAGATTTGTAATTGTAGTTTGAGTTTGATTGGAAATGAAATGTTCCCATCATCAATATACGCAAATCTGCAAACGTAGTTTCATAGAAAAGATCAATCAGGTTTTTAATGCTATGTCATTGTGTAACAGGCACGTGGATAGAATTGAGGGCTGGGGGTACCAGCTACCCCGAAAGGTTCTTGAAATTGTATATTTTTAAAATATTCTGTGCCTTTTGGTATAATATGTTGGACAACACTTTGATATCAGTATAAAGTATACCTCATTTACAGGATTTTACTGTCCGGCCGTTTACAGGCCTCTTGCGTAAAAAACATATTCCTGTATATGAGACATTTGGTGGCCGATTGTATTCAGACACCAGCTATCAACAGCGTTGACACTACACAAGAGCACTGTGGAACACCATATCAAATTGCGAGGTCACATGATTCGCACGTATATCCAAATAAACTGGCAGCATATATTCTGAAGCCTGAGCTTGTGACCTTTAATAGTACAATGCAAGAACATTAAGCTAAATTTCACCATAGATTGAATGCTGTAAAATTAAAAAATACTTTTACTAGTTCGACCAGGAGAAGAAAAAGATCAGACTATAAAGCAGCAGATATCAAACTATCCCTTTAATCGAATTTAGTAAAAAGTTATTTATACAAATAAGTCACATTCGTCAGTTTTCCTTGTAATCATTAAAAATTGCATAACTGCAAGTTCCAAAATCGTACAACAGCAAACTGTTCACGGTTTTAACTTTTAAGCAGAAACTGCATATTTATAAGAGATCTTCTAGATTCTTGAAGCATTTGTACAAAGATTGAAATAGAAGAAAGATTTAACGCGTACATGGACATGTTCCATACAAAATGAAACGTCGGATAACGACTCAAACTAGACTAGGTGCCCAAGATCACCCCGCATCTGACCAAACCGGGAAAATAAAAAAGTCCGTATGAACAAATGATAATTTTGCTATGGAATGTTTGTTTTGCCTATGGAATGTTTCACAAGGGCTTTCTAATTGAAACAATCAAAAGAAGATACTCTTGAACAACTGTAAATAAAAGAGAAACCAACTATTCATCAAATATTTCGAATTAACCATCTATTCAACCCTACAAGATTACCTAGTATCCAAGACTGTCAATTACAATGCCTGCCAAAAGTCTTGGAAAACTGATGTTAGTTCTCAAGGACAAATCCAGGTATTTCCCTCTCCACCAGGGAACAATGTTGGTTTGCGTATTCTTCTTATTCATTAAGATAGATCTAATATTAACATTCATCAATGAAAACAAAACATTAAAAAAATTTCAATCACAAAATCGCTATTATTAAACAAAAATAATTTCTGAAAACCAGCTATCTATCGGGTACCTATGTTAACTGAGCGCCTTTTGTTCTTCACCATGCTGAAAGAAAAAAACAAAGGTAAGTTACCCCTTTGAGAAACTCTTGGAATGGGTGACAAAAGACTAAGTACAACAACCAGGGAACATAGAAAACTGCCAGAAGGGATATGTTGATTAGCTTTGCTATATATTTCCAGACACAAGCATTCTATTTACAGTAATCCTATTAGATTATTTTTCTCTTAGTTTGAATATTGGGTGAAATTTCTGAAAAAGAATGGCATATTACCTTTTTTTAGATTTAGGAAAACCTTTAGTTAAAACAATTATAGCTATATTAAAAATTAATAGGAGGGCGATGTTTATTCTGGAGTCAAGAGTTGTAGTGTTACTCCCTGTTCTTTTCAGCAATGCAATGATTTTTGATTCAAACGTTTAAAATAGTCCATTGAAAAACACAGGGTGATCACCAAGAATCATTGGGACATTGATACAAAATCTATATTGAGATTCATATGAAGATTATTAATAGCAATATTACAGGTTTCTTGATTCTCCAAGTTTTTTAAGAAAACTATGAAATTTTTCAAATTGTTAGGACTTTGACATCAGAATTAAGGTGCACAACAACCAAATGCACTGCACAACAAGTTTGCAGAAAATATTGCAAAACAACCATCCTAAAAAAGCCCATCTGTTTGAGGCGCATCACCCCATCAAAATTCCAATTATCTGCTCTTTTCATATTCACAAAACCTGAAAAACCTAAATTTCTTAATTGGTTTCTTTTTGTAAAGCCATGTCTCTTCTGAATGTGTTGATTGTTGGGCGATTTTTGTTATGATAGTCATGAACTTCAATCTATTTGGAAATTGGTAGTGAAGCAGAAGGGTCTATGTAGAGCTTAGAACCAAACAATCTTATGAAAACAGGCACATTCTTGATTGGAAAGTTGAATAAATTGGTAAGATATTGGTAGGATAGGAAGACAAAGAATATGGTTACTTAATATGTGTTGCGCAGGCTTTTCCTATTGTAAAAAAATTCATCAAAATCAACATGTGTCTAGGAATAAATAGCAAACTTCTTTCAAAAGATTAATAGCAGATGTTTTGAGAGTAGTGATGCAAGGTTTCATAGTAGAAGAGAGTGGTGAAATTGCTAGGGCCTACTAGAAGGAAGGACATAGAAGAAAGAAGCCAGTGAACAGAGAAGGTATTGATCAAATGATCAAATGGATAACATTCTCAATTGAGTCATGGGTGGTTGCTTTGAGGGCTAAAAATGCATAAAACCAAAGAAATGCAAATTTGTTACCCAAAGTACTATGGTGATAATAGTGGTTATGGTGTTTAAAGTCTTGAGATTATTCTGGATAGATTTACTGTTCCGCAGCTCTACTAAATAGAAAAGGTTTAAACCTTTTGTCTGATGACAATCAACAGGGTTTTTCACGGAGCTAGAAGTTCTGTGGTAGCAAATTACAAGTTTTAAGGACTTCAATTTCCCAATTTTGGTCTTGTTGTTGAGTTGATGAGAATTATTGCTGGTTCCAATTTTGCTATGGAGAGGGCATTCAGTGTAAAAACTCTGTTTGTTAACAGTTGATTAAGTATGAACAAAATTGTCAAGATAAGACGCTGAAAGGAAGCCACTTATAAGAGGTATGGTATGCCTTGAGGAAGGCAGGCATGTTGAAACTACCAACTTTAAAGATTCAGATCAACCATTAAGAATGACAGTGACATTTATTCTTAGAACTCAAAATATTGTGGCATTCTTTTGACATATATTCTTAGACAATTGTGGTATATAAAAGCTTTGTTTATCCAATACCAGATTTCAACAACAATTATTGTATGTAGATACAACTACATTTTGTTGAGTTTTAGACCATTTAACACACATTCTGATTTCCTCGTGATTTAGCTTGCCTGAACAAATGCGGGGAGTGACTCACAGCTCACCCTGCAGAAATACAAATGGCCAGGCCTGTGTCCATATATATACTAGCAAATACACAAAACAAGACTTCTAGCTGGAATTGACAGGTCTCTAATGACATTATAATAATGCATGATTATGATAAGCAACTTCCTACCTGTACTTTTGATATGACCATAATATTGAAATAATTCCAAATGTTGAGGCACCAATACTAATCAGCCAAGTTTCAGCTGGAAATGTTTTCTACAAGACAAAGCAATTTTATATTTCTGATTGACAAATCAAGCCAAAGACAATTTTTAGCTTGCCAAACTTCACTAATTTGTTATCAAGGATTACAATTTATTGTTAATAATCATTTGTACAATACAATGTCAAATAGCAAAATGTAGAGATGCCATTCTACAGTGTTTGAAAAGGAAATGGATTCCATTCTAGAATTGCAGCTTTTGAATATTATATCAATACCATAAACTCTTGAAAAATTTTTCTGCTAGCTAATAATGATTTGCTACAAAACATTAGCCCTTTGCTTTTAAAAATGAATTATGCAATTGAACTTATCAATAGGACTTCGTACATATTTGAGACACTTGTATCCATGCCAGTCTTTGTCACATTGACACTGATAAGCTGAAAGTTAATTAAAATACAATTAATATTAGTGAACATTGCAGAAAATTCCCACCATTCATGTGTTTGAAAATAAATCAACAATGATGTTTCGTCAAATACTGTGCTGGGAAAGAGAACTACTGGTAGGTTCATGAAATAAAAGAGGCGACACAATGAACATTGGTTGAAGAACACAAAAACATTATTTCAGATCATTCAGCTCCACTTTAATTAACATGTTTTCTGTGCTACTGCTGCTATAAGCCTATTGGTTTAAAGGCCTTAAAATTTAAGCATTTAAGGAAAAAACTTCACCAACCTGACCCATTGACAACACAGTGAGAATTATCAGGGCATGTGACTGAAAATTGAAATATAAGTTTTTTCAGAATGAAAATCTTCCATAATAAGGACCTGCAATAATATCTGCTGATAGCAGGCCGGGCCGTTTGTATTTTTTAGGTGAGCTGTGAATCGCTTCCTCATTTGCTGAGGCGAGCTAAATCAGTAACACATAGAATGTACTTTAAAGACAATCGACAGATGACTTAAGCCCCTTTAGTATCTGTTGGTTGCCTTTAATAGCCTCATTCAGGAGTATGCTGTTTTACTTCTTTCAATTTGTATTTGCTTTAACCATGACTTAGAAACCCCCTTTACTTAAAGTATTTGAAAGAACAGACTCTTTCAGTTTCATGTAAAGCTGGCACAACACAAAAACAACAATTCTCTTGCCAAACAATCTTTTTCTTGCACAGAATTTGAAAATGGCTTTGAAAAACAAATTTTGAAACAAACCTAAGTTATTCGTCTAGCACTCTTCAGAGTATAAAACGTCAGAACATAGATAGAAAACTCTACGCTAAAATACTCAGTTTTGGATTGAAATAGGCCAATCAGAAAACGTGAGCACATGACTGTTGAGGTTGTCCAATCAGTTCCGCTTTCCTATTGAAAATGTTACCAATGGAGTCATAAAGTAAAAATGAACTCCATTTGTCTACACAAAAGCAGTCTGTCATGTTTATATAGTAGATAGATTCACAAACTGTTAGATGGAATGATGATCAGGCTTTGCCAATAATGCGAAACATGTCACTGTTATAGTTTTCACCCAATCTGGGTTTTTCAGTAAATGCTGCTGGATAGTGGAATTTCATGTTTTGGTTGTCGTCTTTGATCTACAAGACAGAGTACCCTGTTCTCTTTGAGGGATAGTTTTGTTTCTATTGCTGGAAGGGACCTGCAGTTTTATTATATCCCCCAATCTACAATTCCTAACAATTTCTTTGACTTTCCTTCCAAAAATATGCCTGTTTTCTTAAGATTGAACGGTTCTAATAACCACAAACGTACCTTGCGCTTAACTAACCTTTTCCAAATAGATCAAAGTTCATGCCTATCATACAAAAAACCACCCAAAAAGCAAAAAGTTAACTGCAAAAAATGCAGTGACGGGAGAAATCACTGTTACAAGAAAAAAAGCAATTAACCCTTGTACGTTTTCAGGGTTCTCTGAATAGGAATTAGGGCAAATTATTGGAAATTTTAGGGGAGCGATTCTCCCTTCATGTTCTGTTTAGGAGAGCAATTCATAGCTTGAGCTATTGCCTGCTGATGATCAATTGGAGGCTTTTAATTTTTATTGAATTGCAAATACAACTGAAAGGAGAAGAGAAAAAAACATTTTTAGAAGAATTTCAAACATTCAAATTCAATTCATACTTAATCTTACTATTGCTCAACACCTAATCTCAAAGACCATAAAATAAACAAATTACTTCTGAAGGAGTACAAATTTACACAAAATAGCTATGATTGCAACCAGTGGCGGTGCCAAGGGGTGGTATGGGGGAAGGGGGGGGGGGTTTTTACCTCCATATATTTGTTGAAACATGGTCTACATATTTCATCTAAAAACGGATTAAAAAGCACTAGGTATATTTCCTAGGAAATTTGACCTGATACAAAGCACTGAAACGAGGCCAATAGGGTGTGGTCTCACAGGTAACACTCATTACCCTCCCACTCTGCAGCAGCTGGCGCCGCCACTGATTACAACCATTTCAATGTGATTACAGAAAAGGAACCTCACTTTACGATCTGGCAAAATTTTTTTAGCTTCATATCAAAATCTAATCATTTTTCATTAGTCCTTATCAACACTTTTGCTAAGAGTACTTACTATTTGTGCAAGCATTTGGTTTTGAACATATCTTAACACCATCATGCTCCTTTACTTCTGACCAAGAGCTTTCTCCTGAACTGCATTGCTGATCACCATCAATCGCACTAGGCAGATATTGAATGAAAGGCTGAGTTTTCGATGATAATAATCAGCTAAAAAAATACATAAAATGAAATTACAAGTCAAACAAAATATATAACTGAGCAGAAAAAGCACTTACATATATTTCAGATTATTTTCCATTTCAATACTGTGTTTTTTCAAGGCTGGATTGTTGCCACTGTGTCCAACCAAATCAATGCTTGAAAATAAATATTTGAAATTTTAAGAAAATTGTATGAACTGCTTACAAACAAGTGAAGATTGTGTGCAAATCTTTTTTATTCTTATGTATGTACATTGTTGCAGAAAAATTTATGACAAACTGAACAAAGTGGTAAAATACAATGCCCATTGCCTGACTCTTGAATAAAAGAGTAATTTGGTTTAGAATGATGAATAGGCTTAGAATCAATGTTACAAAAAAACAACTTGCAACTTCAATTATATGTAACATTAATTGACTTTCTTCAAAAATTTGAAATCATAATACACTCTCCTAAAAAAAGTATCCGAACAGTTCGAAGATTGGTGATAAAGACTAATTTAGTGATAATAATTTTTTGAGAAACCCTTCCAAAACCAAACAAGACATTAAAATGCTGCCAACTTCTGCGTTTTTTATCTGTTATCATTTTTGTTAAAAAGAAAAACTTGCGCTATAGGCCTTACACAAATCAACTGATGTCAAATAAGCAAAGAACCGGCAAGTCAGGTGATAATTTTTTTCAAACTGGTTATTGAGACACAAATATTTTTGAATAAAGAGAAATACATATGTGTTTACTCTTAGTTGCGAAAAATATTTGCATTGATTGGTCATAAAGCATGCATGACATATGGTAACATTTTACCAGATCATAAACGTTCTTGAAAAGCAGACATATGATTCAGTGCAGGGCCAAAACCCACATTATTTCTTTACCGCTAATAAGTTTTGATGAAATCGATTGGTACAAAAGTATATTCACAATTCTATATCGTTTTCCTTGCAATATTCACCGACAGCTTTTGAAAGTTCAACTGTTTGTGAACATTTAATGCATCTTTCTGTAATGATGTAAACAAGTTTTGATGCAAATTTGGTTAGGGCAGAACGTTCGATCATTGTTTTTGTGAGAGATGACTGTGACAAATTTTTCATGCTTCTTGTTTTTCAATTTTTTTGCATATGTTGAAAGTGGCAGTGTTTATGCATCCAATGATATTAGCAATTTAAGGATAGCTTTTTCCCATCATTGTGATAAAACATTATTTCTAAACACTGCTGATAAGAGTATTTTTTTTTCGACGAATAAGTAGATTAAAGGCCAAAAACACTTCAAGAAAAAATTTGAGGAAATTGATAAAAACAGTTTTATGATAACTGTTTTTAAAATTTGTAAACAAAGTTATCTAGGCCTAACAACAGATTCGCAACCAAATTTGAAACTGTGCGGATACTTTTCGTGAGGAGTGTACACTACATAGCTAAAAGTCATAAATTTAAATTGTCCAAAAAAGAAGAAGAAGAAAATTACCCTATTGTGCAATCTGGCATTACACAGCAACTGGAATTCGAAATAGGCCATGGGATCGCTTCCTTTTTGCAAATAAAATCTTTGTGCCAAGTCGATTCTGAGCTTAGCTCACTACATAAGTTTTTAATTGTATTGCCTATAACCTTTTCACAAATATTATCATCAGAAACTGCGACCTGGGCAGTTATAACTATGAAACATAACACAATTTTTACATATGCCTTCTCTTTCTTCGGCTCCATCTTCCTTCTTTGCGTCATAGACCACAAGGGACTGAGGTGAATTTAAGAATTCCCAGAATCCACCTGAAGGTTGTTATTATGGCCTAGGCGACAGGAGAAGCGCCAACTGGAAATTTCGAAATAAAACTGTATCGTTTTGTTTGTCTACAAAATTTTATATTGTACATGTTTGTTTGTTAACTTGACATGTTGAGACCGTCATAAAACCAAACATAAAGCTGCGTAGATACACTTGGAAAAAGCCAAGGTAAGAGATGTATGTAATTTTTGGATAGCCTTGGCTGTGTAATGCTGATTTATTTTTATATAGGGTTGTTTTTTCTTTAATGTTCTTATTGTAATTTTGCATTTAATAATTGAATTTTAAACAACTTACCTAAATAACGTAACGTGTAATTAATTTATTTGCTGAAAAAAATGTTTTGAGTTTGAGTTTTACGAATAAATATCGATATTATTCTAAACATTTGTCAGCTCCAGCAATTAATTACAATTTTTGAAACCCTTGGTTAAACCTCTGTAAATGCAAATTAGACTGTGCTTCAATTGAGGAAGGCAGTTTTTATATTATTCTTAATATAATACGAGAGCATTTGAATCGGGGAAAAAATAGATCAAGATTTTCACAATGACGGTGCTGATAAGTTTTCGGTATCATTGGAGGCCGGAGATCCCTACTCCATATAGGCGGTGCTACGCAACAGAAATATCATTTCAGAACTAACAGGAAATAAAAATTTTAAGAAGCAATATTAAAACACTATTCTCTCATGGTATGAATGGTGGAACTTAAAAATGAGCAAAGGCTGGGTAACGGTAGGGTCAGCTTTAGTTTAAAACTTAGGTTAACTTATGTAACGGTTTGGATTTTATATTCAATCCATTTGGTAATGTTCCCGTTGCGTGTTTAGATCACATGTTCTGTTGAAGATAACACCAAAGAAGTAGCCCGTCGCTCCATCAATGAGCTGGTTATTAACAGGCTATTCACCATCATAACAAGAACCCTGATCATTACACTTAGTTTTAAAGTTGCTAACACTTTGAAAAAGGATCACAAAGGTTTTTAAAAAAGAATTTGATTGAACCAATTTTAATATTTGAGTTTCAAAGAATTGTATTTTTCATGGCAAAACTACTACAAGCTAGATCCTGGAGACTGAATATTTGGTGTAAACCAGGGAGTTTATTTTCAATTTTAGGTGTATAAGAGATGGCACCATTAGACTGGAATGTAATTCTCAGCATTGAAAGCAGTTCTCTTCAAAATGATGAGGATGCAGCAGAAAAGATGTTTGATATACTTGCTCAGGTGGGTTGCTCCTTTTTGTTAAGATGTTATTTATTCAATATTTCATATGTTATGAAATATCAAGCAGAAATTCAAACAAGAATCAGTTATATACTTTTGTTTTTCATGAAAGCTTAAATGGTCATTAAACATGCTTCTAAAACTTAAAATTCCTTCATTAAACTTTATCTAGTTTTTATTCCAAGACCTAAAGATCCTTGGCAGGAATCTAGTTATATAAATTGGTTAAAGTTAAACAGAGTCTGATGATTAGGAAACCAAAATAGTTCAGCTAAAGGTAAAGGTGTTTTTAATGTTAGGCTTTGTAGGAAAGGACAAAGAGCCTGGCATATAATATTGATAAGGAATAAGCATTTGCATGGTTTTGAGGTAGCATGTTTTGAGGTTCTTGAAAATCATTTTTGTTAAGGTTTAGGTACTCTGACTAAAATTATTCAGAAATAATCTCAGGAAAGTAGCAATGTTGAAAGTACACCGAATTGGTGGTCAAATTGGTATTTTTTTTATAGATACCACATTTTGCTTACCCATTCATGCAGTATTTCATGAAAGTTTATTTCACAATAAAATAGGTTCTTTCAATGATCATCAGTTATCACCTAAATTTTCCATCTTGTCTTTTTAGGCTGAAGTTCAAGAAGAAAATCAAGAAGCATCAAGCCCCCAAAACATGGTTCAACTTTTTAGAGTCACACAGGCAGTGATGATGGTAAATTAGGCTTCAAAACAAATGTTTTAAGACATGTTTTGCATCAAAACAATTAACCATTCAAGCAATGACAATTTGGGGATGCTTTTACCATTATCTTTTAGTATTTTGATTTTTCTTTAATCTTTAGTTTGTCTAGGTTTTACAAGCTTTTCCAAGCTCTTTGCATCAGAAAGCTGATAGTATGTGTTTTTTGGAAAGTTAGAAAGCCATAATATTGGAATAAATCCCATTTAGGTAAAGAATGTTCAATATGAGACAGCTTTAGATGAACTGGAACAAGCAATGAAAGGAGGTGGGACAAAAGGTAAGAATTATTCTTGATGGTTTTATTCTCATGGATAATTGCTGCTATCATATAAAACTGAAAGTTTTGGTTTGGTCTATCAGAAATTCTAAGTTCCTTCTTGAGTTTGAAGCTTAATGCCATCATCATTTATCTCTTTGTGTAATTAATTCAAGTATTAGCACAAGTACTAAGATAAAATGTGTACTGCACCTGGTCTAGCTAGTTCCCTATTCCAAGACCTGTCTGTTACAGATAACTACATGTCAAATAGGTTTTTTGTCCCACAAAATTTGAAGATTGTCGCAAAACACAGCATGCTGGAGTACTATTCCTTACAATGTTTATACTCTCAAAAGTGACATATAGAAAAGTGCTTGATTATGCTTTGTTTCTTCTATTTTGTGCCATCTTTGAATTATTGTTTATTTTCACCTAGGAAAAATGTTGTGTGTGTGTACATTAGGCTAAAGAACTTTAAACATTGTGAGAATGATAAACAAAAAGCTTTGCATGTGCCTTGTATGTTCTAAACAAGCAACATGTTTTTACTTTGGGTGACATCTAACCTGAGTTGATATGACTTGAGATGCTTTATCATGGTGTAGATTAGCATAAAAATGCAAAGAAAACTGCAACATCCTCAAAATTTTACAAACCTTTGTAGAAGAAGGTTGTCTTCAATTTATGCCATTTCTTTATCTAGAGGGCCCTCAACCCAAGAAAATATCTCTTGCTGCATCCTTGATCATTGAACCTCACAATTACACATAAACTGAGCTGAGACTCCTACATTGGGGAACTACAGTCTCCAGTGTTTACCTCCATTAGTGCATGTGATCCAAATTAGTCTTTCCTTGAATGCCAAATTTATGTTTAATAGGTCTTGCTATCTTTGTGTTGACATGCTTAATTGCTTACAAGATATGAGAGGAAGATTGATAGTCCAGGATCATTATGACCATGATAGTAGCATTAAATTCTAAATGATCTTTTATTGGAATTTCAGCCAATGTTGTAGCCAACTTGCCATTTTTTCTCTATTAATTTGATCATTATTCTCACATTATATATTTATTAAATGTATGTCGATATATCTTCTGTTTTTTTAACTTGCTTCTTCATGGCTGAAAATGTTGCCAATTTTCATATGAATGTCAAAACATAAATATGTATGAGAATTGGATTCATATGCGAATTTTGCTAATGAAGCTGGCTCATTTGTTTTCTCCCTCTGTCGTTTGTTTTTTATCTGTGTTTGATTCATATCATTCAACGCGTGATTCATATTAGGTACTGGCAATTTCAGGCCCTTTTATATCAGTAACAAACCACATTCGAAAACTGACGCTTGTTTCTTTCAGAAAGCGATTTGATGGCGGAGGTAGAGGCTTTGCAAAAAGAGTTGGCACATTACCAGGTAACGGTTTTATTATAAGGTTGCGTGATTGGCATACTTTTCTGTACTCTTTTGTTTGCTAATGTTTAGCAAAATGTTTACTTTTTTATATTCTTATTTTCACTTGTTTTTTTTCGTAAATTTAGATTTGATAAATTCTCTTTGGATTTTAGATCTACTGATCCTTTTATTTATAGCGTTGGCTAGATAGCAGGACAACATAGCGAACAGATGTTGAATTTACTGATTGTCGATAACCTTCTAATCAACCGTCATACCCTCTGTGTTGCCATTTGCAATTTCACTTTCACACAAAAATTTTGTAACGAATACACTTACGGACTCTTTTCATTACGTTTCAAGGGCTCGTAACAGTGCCTCTTGCTTGAGTCTATCTATTCTGTTCTATACTATATGGAAAGAACAAATGTAGCATTCGTAGGACGACGAAACCGGGGGCACTAGAAGAAAATGCTCATTTTGTAGAATTCCCTTTATGAACTTTTTAGGAAGTACTCTTCTCTGAGAGATCAGAGATAGTGTCCCTCAAACTTTCAAATGCTTGTGACGTCTTAGAGCATTCGTCTAGCCTGGAAAAGTTTCAACCGCACATTACCAAGGATGTATTCATGAGCGAGTTGTTAGCGAATGCAGACTATGCTAAAAAAAGTATGTTTTACGGTAACTAAAGTCACTGATAAGTGGTATTTGTTTTTCTTAGAAATATAGCAATGCTGGGGACAAGTATTTGAAATCCGAAATGGCACAGCTTGAGGAGAGAAACAAGGTTTGGATTAATCTTCCTTGAATTATTGTCATAAACGTTATCCTAAAACACTTTTAGTTCATTTTATATGTCCCAATTTTGAGAATTGGCCGCGGAGCATAAAAATCCAACAAGGGCCGCGGAGCACACTACAGATTTAGGGGGCTGAAACGTTTTGAAGGGGTTTAACATGCTAAGAACTAAGATCAGGGCAATTTTCGGTATGATTTTAAGTACATTTTGGAAATTATTGGGAGGGGGCTAAAGCATCCCTTAACCCCCCCTGCTTTCGCTGTCTCTAAGATCCAATATGCAAATGTGATTTTTGCTGATGTTGATACACTTTGCAACGAGTAATGTATCGTATTACTTTGAACGCTTTCTATATATTTTCAACTTTGAAGCTACAGTCACGTGGAGGAAGATATTTGACAAAAAATAAAGTTATAAAGACTACCGCTGGAAATGATACCCCGAGGAGCAAAAGGACCTTTGCTAAACTGAGGCACTAACCGGTTGATAAAAAACCTCCGAATGTCAGTCTTTAACCAAGAGAAAATGCCTGAGACCGTGCTGTCTTTGATTCTCAACGTCAACTGACTTTAGCTATCGTCCTAGCTGTATTAAATATTTTTGTTGATAATTTCATTGCCCGAGGCCTTTTGTTTTTCTGTGCACAACAATGTTGACATCCCTGTTACTGTCGAAATACTTTTATGACATTTTATCTACCAAAGCCTTTTGGTGGACAATAGACAATAGACGATAGTAATGATTTTCATAATAACTTTGCAACTTTTGAGAATAAACATTGAAAACTCTAAAATAACCAGTACCAAATACTTCCAAATAACACACAAATTGCTTGTTCCAGAATTTTTTGCTATCGGTCAAAACTGCCCAGAAGCAATATTCAGACAACAAAACGTCCCACTAATTGCCATTAAATTGGGTCCTGTTAGTGCATAGAAGCTTCACAGTTAATATTCTTATTTATCTTGTAGCTATACGAAAAGGAACTTGAAGAGCTGGAGAGAAAACTAGTGAAAGAGCAGCAACAGAGAGACAAGGTAATCTGAAATTTTAATCGAAAAGTATATTGTATATTTAGAGGAATTGTCGTGCTGAAATATCCAAGCAGTTTTCGCTAGGATGCCCCGTCTTCATGAAGAGAAATGGTGCACGTGATCTATTTTTAGATCAAATGGGAAGTGCTTCAGAATTTTTCATATTTTTTCCATAAGAAGACTAGCTATTAAAGCTAAATCCTTTCAGTAACATTTTGCCTTTGCTAAAATGTTTGTAAGTGATGATACAAATAAGATGCTTTCAAATCAGTCTCTATGTAAAGCCACACAATCTATGATGTCGTGAAAGATGTTGAAGCAAAACAAGATAATTCCGAATGTGATCTGAAACGGTCTCTAAATTGGAACTTGCTTATAAGTAATAAAGTAATAATCAAAACTATAAGCAAAAGCAGGGAGCAGGCAACAGTCTGGAAAACCTTTTATTTAGTCAAAAGACTCTTGTTGTGTTTTAATTGGTGTATCCATTTTTGAACTTATTTCTGTGTGCTGTGTTCTGTTGCTCAGTTGATTCAATAGTTGTTGCTAGACTCTTGCTTCTTTTTTCTGGCGCCTTTTTTATTTAACGTTTCTTTTATTGAATGACAGTTGTCAAAGCAGTGCGAAGACCTCGATTTGAAAAACACGGAGTTGAAAAGAGAGGTAATACATTTGGTTGACAGTATAGGTTAAAGTTGTTATCCTGTTCCAATTTAGTGGATTTTATCATGAAGATGAGTGGTAATGAATGGGTAGGAAAGCAGCACATCTAATTCTTGAATAAGGCGATATGGAAAAGCTCCATGATTTAATGGAAACCCGAAAACAAAGCCCCATTTACACTATACATACTAACCCGGGTTTGCTCCATATTAGGTTTGCCCGGGCGAGTTTGACATTAGTAAGTTTTAGTTAGATCCTTGCTTGGCGCCTTTTTTTGCTAGACGGCGCCATTAAAAGAAACGAACCCTGTTGACCTTCACCTCAGTTTGTGCTAAGAATACAATTTCGAAAACTCAGCCAAGCTCGATTTATACTAAGCCACTTCTTGAGGTGGCATTTGCACAGCGAGAAAACTAACTCGGATAAGCTTAAACCGGGGCTAACCAGGGTTAGTCCGTGTTTATGATAAGGCTTGAGTATTCGATTCGCAACAACTAGCTACTGAAAATTTAAAGCTGATGTTTATTTTGATAACAAAGAGAACGATTAAAATTTTAAACTCAGTGTTATGTCAATATCTGAACACTTTCTTTTTAATTTTCTTGCCAGATTTTCCCCAATTTTTTTAAGATCAATTTTGCTATAACCAATCATTATGATTTTATTGATTTAGGGAGATAGACTAAGAAACCATATCAAAGACTACCAAAGGCAGCTTGAGTCACAAGTAACACATTGTTTTCTTTTTCACGTTTCACTAATTTGCACTTGTATGGCCTTAAGCCTTCAGATTATTTCTTCAAACTTTTTTGAATCTCCAAGAGATTTTTGCATTTCTTGTTTTCTATCTGAATTAGATTTAATTTGGAATCTTTATTTGAGCTGGTAACACTTCTTGTTTTAACCTGTTTAGCTTTTGTTAATAATTTTGCAAGAATGTTAAATTTATACCGTCTTGTTGACAGTCATCAGATTATCCTGCATGCTATCCACATGGACTTGAATGCATGTTTTAAGCAATTTTAGGATTGTTGAAATATTTAAAACCTGCAAACACGGCTCAATAAAAGTAAAAAAGAAAAGCCTTGTATCCTACGAAGCAATGGCAAAGACCCGTAGTTTAAGGTGGAGAATAGGAGGTGGATTTGGCAAAAAGAGGTTTTTCGGCGCACTTTGACTTCTGACTGTAAACTTTAAGTAATTAGTGATTTTGAATGGGTTTGAACACAGGATACGTTTGCATGCGGGGTAATAATTATAAATCCCTTTCTATACTACTTTTATCGTATAAGGCAAGCAATTGCATTTCAATTCAAATTTATTTCAGACTCATCTATTCTTTTCGCAACCATTTCAAGAAATTTTTCATTTTTTAGCAGCAATACTTCCTAAACGTATTCCCAAATTATTTCTTCAATTTAGAGAGAAAGCCAAATCCTTCGTCGAGGTGAAGATATGACAGTGAAAGATCAGATATCGAAGAAAAACAAAGAGATTTCGGGTTTTATTGATGAAATCAGGGTAAGTCAGGCTAAATTTGGCATAAGAGTTACCAGTTAGCTCGAGTTAGCTATTCAGGCCTTGACCAGACTTTCAACTTTTGTTTGCGGAAACTTCCGTCAACAATTTTGCATCAATAGTGATATGACAGTAGGTGCGTATTTTTTAACGCTTCAATATTTGCATCTTCTGGTTGTGCAGTGCTTCTAATTTTCACGTTTTTTCTGTGGAGTTAAACCGAGCACTGAACGTCAGCTTTTCAATCGTTTCGAGAGACATACTTTAGACAATTTCAGTGACGTCAATTTCAGAATCATTGGGCAATCGAGGTCATTTTTGATTTTTGCTTTTTTGATTCTGTTTGTTTAAGATGAAATAATCTAGAAATATATAGACAGTAAGTGCTCATTTTCTTGATTGGAGCCTTCAACTACATGCAGGTCTAGCGATCGCTGATTGGTCAAAACAAGAAACCAACAGATTTCCACTCTCCTGGATATATATCTCCATTCAATGTTTGTTCTTTGTGCCTTTCAAACTGAAAAGTAGAATAAAATACCTGCTTATATTTCTGCTATGTGATGAGTTATGTATCTGCTTGCTTACGTCATCTTAAATAGAGTGCTTTGATATGGTGTTCTAATTTAAGAGAGCTTGTAATTGCGCAGGAGCTGCAGGATGAGAATGATCGGCTGCAAAGAGACGTGACTCTTGCTCAGAAGGAGCTTAAAGATGCAACAGCGGCAATGAATGAGATGGCAGATGATTATGCTAAGCTAAAGGTAAGACTGCTAAAGGTAACCACAACAAACCATAGCATCTAATGCGCTCTGCTTAAAGAAATGCTAGTATGTCATAAACGAATGTCATAAAGACATCGTTTTTGTGCCACGAAGAATCGCTTTAGTTGCGTTGCTTCCTCTTCTATAGGTTTTTTCCCAAAACTGGTCTTCTCTTTTGTAGTAATTGCGTTGTTAAGATACCTGACAAACTTCCATCTTCATTTTAAAGTAATCTCCACTCAAATCATTAATTAATTTTCTTTCACACATCTAACTAATTAAAACATTGTTTGCGTGTGTAGAATAATATTTAACTCTTTTTTAAAATCAAGCATTAAAAAGCCCAGTATCAAAACATTTGTCAAGTACAGTGAGACCGATATTATCCGTCGCAAAAATTCTTCACAAATGTGTTTTTCTCATTTCAATTTTTTTGGCTCGGTTTTTCTATTTTTTGTTTAGTTCTAGCAATTTTTGGCCCAAGCTTGGAATATACATTTTTTTTGTTTTTCTTTGCTTGATATTGTAAATTTTGTATTCTGCAAATTCAATTGGACTTAATTCGATTCACAGAGCGTCTTAGAGGACACGGATTCCCTTCTTGAGAACATGCGACAGGAACGAGATCTGTTGAGATCACAGGTGAATCTCGCTCTTCTTTTGTTATATTCTTCCATCAGTGTTTTCAAGAGTTTAATATTTTCTTCCATTATTTGTTCTATTTTATTTGAAACTGCTGTTCTTAAACTCCAGGTGCAAGATCTGAATGAGCAACGTCATTTGAAGACAGACGCAGACGATGAAATGATGGTGGCTTTCAGCAAGAAAGTAGATGAATGGAAGGTTCGCTACCTTATTTTTTATCACCTGAGAACTCGAGATATATCAATTTAAAAGTTTTTAATTTGACTTTTGTTCAGTAAATTGATTTCCTGCTAAAAGTCGATTCCAGTTTTTGAGATTCATCAAATCTCTGTATATATCTATGGAGTTGCCTATGCTTTTAGATGTTAGTGTTTATCTTATGTCGCCATTGTCTTCAAAGGAATAAAAAATGAGTATATCATAATGTGAACACAAAGCATTTATTTGAATAGAGATAAACGATGTTATAGCGGACACATCTTAGACAGATATACTGTCCGTTGTGGGTGGCAGATATTTTCTAGATGTTACTTGTATAATACTTCCACCTTAGTCTGTTCTTTGGAGGTATCCGGTTCTAGGAGGGGTCTCCTGGTAAACAGAGACTTCCTGGCATGCCTTATCTCAAGCCACTTCTTTCTCAGAGGGTATTAAATGAATATTCAATAAATTATTACCTTTTTTAGATGGCTGTTTCTTACAAAGATGAGGAAATTGTTCAGTTGCATGAACGCATTGCCGAATTGCAGAAACAGCTGCAAGCTGCCAGAATGGATACTGACAAAAATGCCATGGCAGAATTAATCTTGGTGAGTGCTCCTTGCCTCGACGTATAGCTGCTCAGACAAAAGCCCGAAACATGCTGCTTAGCGTTCATGTGTTTTTCAGCAGCTTCCCATCTGATAGTATATCATAACATGGTTAAAGTTTTTGTGTTACTGGGAAACGATACAGGGATGTTAACTCAGTTGTTATAGCAGAAAGAATGGAATGGGTAATTTGTATGAACATTTTACACTTTAGGGGCGTTTATTTGGTTTTTAACCTAGGCGTTTATTAGGGTCTTAATTCGAAAGGGTTGGTTACGTAGGGAGTGGGCATATTCGCCACCATATACACATTTATCGCAAGCTAGAGTCACGACATGTTTCAGAGCTCGGTCGTCTTTACATCTAGCAGTTTTGGAATTGATCTACACACAAACGAAAAAGCCGCCATTGTGTAGGCAGAAGGAGTTCGTTTTCTCTCTTGGACTCCAATGGTAATTTTTCTTTAGGCACGCGGCACTGATGAACTCTTCGGGCTTGCGTTTTTCTGATTGGCTTATTTTGATCAACAACTGGGTATATATTTTTCATCGTGTTCTTTTGGACCCTTATTCTGACGTTTTATGCTCCGAGGAGTGTCAGACGAAAAAGCTTTTAGCCAATAAGTTGTAAAATGTTTGCTCTTTTCAAAGCCATTTTCAAGTTCTGTGCCGCAAAAAAGAGTCCTATTAGTGATTACAATGGGAATCAGAGCAACAATAAAAAAGTGGGGTCAGACAGTGAAAAATGCCTAAAACTTGTGTCTTGAAATAGTTATGTAAATACTGTAAAAGCTCTATTAAGCCCCTTCTCTCTATTAAACCCCTTTTCTCTTATAAGCCCCTCCTCTCTATTAAGCCCCTCCTTATCAAGCAAACACTTAAAATAAGCCCCCACTTTCTATTAAGCCTCCCTTTTTAGTCTTTGTTGTCAAACAAGAAAACATAGAAAAACATGCGCATTTAGTGGGTCTCTTAACGGGTGTGACGATAAGATCGAATTCATTAAATAGGGCCCATGTAAAGACGTACTTGTGCTCCTAAAAAATCCGTTGAAATTTGTTTAGAAGATGTCCCAGGGTTATCAATTGATCCTGGTGATTCTGATGAAAATAAGGACTTTGTAATTGATTAATTAGACTTTCGAAGCTGCTAGCGAAGTTTTCTGAGAGCATTTGTGTGACATTTTAATAACAAAAAATAGAAAAAGGCTTTTTAAATCATTTTTACTTTAAATTTTTAATAAGTCTCTCTCTCTAATGAGCCTCCTCTCTTTTAAGCCCCCCTTCAGGACTGAAGAAATTAATAAGCCCCCCCTGGGGGCCTGATAGAACTTTTACGGTAAAGTTGTGAGGGATACTCCCATGAAAGTCAGTACCATATGCTGCGCTACCAAGAAAATGTCCCCATTGGCTGGTTATTGTTTAGAAACGGTAGCACAGACAGGCATCGTTGAGAATAAGTAGTTACCAACATAACCGGATTACCAATTGGTAAGAGCCAAAGTGCTTGGTGGCAAGTTTCCTGAAAGCCTGTCTGTTGGATATAATAAAAGAAAAGCCTAATGAATGGGTGCTTGCTTGTTTATTAAAAAATGGTCCCCTACGAGTTGTACCTACGAAAGCAACCCCATCTTTCTTTTGAAACAGCGGCTGTTTTGTGACGTAAATGGACAATTGGATATTACTTACTGGAGAAGCGTCGTCTCCGTGGCGCAATCGGTTAGCGCGTTCGGCTGTTAACCGAAAGGTTGGTGGTTCGAGCCCACCCGGGGACGCAATTTCCTTTCTTGCCTCTTTCACAACCAACAACTTCGCCATTTCTACATACTTTCTACAGAACTGTATTCAGTTCTCATGCACTGTTTAGTTACTTCTTTAAGAATAGTAAGTTTGTTAGACCGTCTAAGATTATTTCTAAACTAATAACGTGTCGGCGTTACATACATGTACATACAGGCTTGCAAGTTGCAACCTGGAATCTCTCTAACCGGGAACATTTTGAAGTTTAAAGTTGTTGCGTTGAAAGGTGCAGGTCACGAAGAGTTTAAAGTGTTCTGTTGATTGTAAACCGGGTGAAATAAAAGATTGGGCAATTTGATTTTTTTTCATGTCGTTTTCATGACCAGATAAAGATGTTAACAAGCACAGAAAACAACTCTTAGGTTGAACCCCCCTCCCCCCCACATAGATCCATTCCGCCTCTCTGCTTTTTCACAATTTTCTTAGTCATTTTTGGTGACAATAAGTAAAGTAGATGTTAAACGAAAAATCGAAGTAATCAGTGGCGTACCCAGGGCTGTACTAGTGGGGGGTTTAGGGCGGAGCCCCATAATTTTTTGGACCACGCCCTTCAGACACTCGCAAATGCGGGAAACGCCCTTTTTGCAAAATGTCACCCAATTATTTGATTCATATTAGCTACGGTAAATAGCAAGGCATTTTACAATTGTTTTTGACACAAGCATACAGTATACAACCCCCCCCCCCCAATGAGTTTTACATCGTTTCTGGACAAATCTCGAGGATCATATTTTAGAAAAGTGGGGGGGGGGGGTCCGGATCCCCCTATTCCCCCCCTTGGGTACGCCACTGTAATGTTTCTCAACTAGCTCAAAATATTGAGGTAGAGGAAGTTCGTTTAATGTTTAAAAGTTGCAAAAGTGAGTTGCGTTGGTTTAACGATTTTCAATGCACTGATTACGCTCTATTTTTGTTTTAGAGTAATCAAGAAAAAGATGAAAAAATCAATGAACTCAAGAAGAGTTTAGAAGTGGTATGGTGTCATGTTTTGTTTTAGTTTTGTTTTCAAACCGAATGCTGTCTCCAGCCAACCAAGATTAAGTTAAAAATTCTCCATCCCCCTTTCTCAGCCAAGGCAATTTGGTTCCTTTCACCCACTTTATGAAACTCTCGGCATCTCAAGGACTCCGAGAGTATCGGACGCAAGGTGCTCATTTTCACCTCTCATGTCTTAAAAAGCTGATTATATTTAAATGTAATGAAGGAAGCTCTTATGTCCAACATTAAATTAAACGATTAAGAAATGTGTCTCTTCACCAAACCCATATCAAGTGGATTGGCAGCTTTCTTTTTGTTGTGTAAAACCGTTGTGTAAAACCACTGAATTTACGAGGGTTTTACAGGCTTGTGTTCGCAGATTCGGCAGTAAAAGAAAGTACAAATCTCATTAAGCGTGTTCTGATTTCTTGGCTCGACGGTTCTTATAGTTTCATCTAATTCAACAACGACTAAACGGGTCACTTCGGCAAATAAACGTGCTGCACCCCCTAATTTTCAAAAAGACAGATTTTGTCGGGCAAATTTATGGCTGTCAGTGTATCTATCGGGAATATCTGAAAATTCTCTTTAGGTCGCACTCTTATTGCTACTTTTGCCCTAGCTTGGTTTTTGATTTTATCGTCTTTTCCCCCATCTTTTTTTCAATCTCCATCCAGTTGGGAAAACAAAACAGGAACCAGGCAAGCAACAGTCTGTATACATACATAAGATATACATTTCTGTCTTTCGTCCATCGATCAGAGCTTTCGTCTCGAGCTCAACGCGCACATGTTTATATTCGCCTCGAGATGAAGTCTAAAGTATTGATCGACAGCTAAAGTATAGACGGAAAGTAAAGTGTGTTTGATGCGAGAAGGAAATGAACACTGTGCATACCCCTCCCCCCTACTTTTTGCAAAACAAGAGAGCTTTTTTCAAAATCTTTTCTTGTGATTTCTAGATTTTCCCTTGACAAGCACCCCCCTCCCCCCTCCAACTTTCCATCCTGCCTCGGAGCCCATGGAACACTGACAATTTAAGAAGCATCATAAATCAAAGCATGGAGGATATACCATCTCTGAATACGTTGTTGAGAAAAATCAATCAATACTTTATTTTCCAAATGTATGAAACTTTCGCCATACATTCATTAGGAGTTATGCCCCGAAATTCTCCGAGTTTCGGTCCGAAAGTGTTGCACCCTTCGCCAAAAAATGGCCGTACAAAGTTTTTTAACTAAAAGAATTCAAGTAACCGTAACAAGTAACAGAAAGTTTTAATCAGTTCAAGCGGGAAATAATAGAAAATTTATCAAGAAATTGTAATTAAGATATGAATTGCAAACAAATTTCAAGTTTCTTCTATTTCTGAACAATATCCATTATTACGAAAACACGAAAACTGAGCTTTGATGATAGGTGTACCTGTAAAATACTTTCATTAAAAAAACTTTTCCTTGCTTGAGGGATTTTGTTATGGTGAATTGAGAGATACTTTGTGCTGGGGTGTCTAAAAATGTTGAAATTCCTTATGGAGCAACCGAAAGTTGAAAATCAAACTCAGAAAATGCAACTGAAGCTCTTTTTTGTTGAAATATTGTAGTTTGCGTAGCTGTTTCTAAATTCCGAAATTTCCAAGGTCTGTTTTGTTGTTCCACTTTGATAAAATTGAGACCCTACTTCAATCTCTTTTTTTAATTGCTCTCTTAATAGCTAGGTGATTTAGAAAGTGAAGACTATTTTTCTTTTATACACATCTGTTCACAAAACATTTCCATTATGAACACTTACTTCCCTTCAATGTGATATCTCAACCCCACTCGCTGATGATTTTCAAAACTGTTCTTTTTCAAAACTTTCTGTTTCATCCAATCCTTGTTTGAAATTTCTTCCATCGTTAAATCCACAACTCAAAAACTTTTTTTCTATGGCGTTTTGGTTATTCTTACCTTAATAGCTCTTTACCAATTACAAAATATTTTGAGTAGTGCTCCCATATTTTGGGTGACGCTCAATCTTGCACCATCTCGATGACGAAATTCAACCAACGTTATTGGCCTCATTAACAACTTTAACCTTTTTCTTGCTGGCGTGGTGTTCCCAATCAACCTATCTTTACAAATATTTTCATAGACATTGTTCCCTGGAAATCAGCTAAATTATGCCTAGCCCCGAACTTAGTCCTATAACTCATTTCTCCCTTGCAGAGCTAACCTTGCTAACCAATTGTCAACCTTGAAATGCTTTACCTTCATCTTGCTTCCCCTATTCTTATCACCTGTCATATTCGAAAATATAGTCAGAAGAATTGATTTCATTTCCTTCTATTTTTAGCTGCGAGCCAGCAGAAAAGCTTGGCAAAGGTTGCCAATGAGTTCTTTTCCTTGCATCTGATATGCTCCCTATCCCGTGTTTAATGGTAGTCCTTTCTGATATCCCTTAATATCTTGATTTGTGGATTGTAGTCCCAACGCATAATGACTTTGTAAAGAGTCAAGTTTACAATAAAATTTGACATATCTGTCTGCATACTTTCCAGGCTTCCAAAGACATGCAGTCAATAACAGAGAGAATTGAAGAAACAAAGCAGAAGGCTAAAGACGGTGATTAGCGTTCAAAATACTCCATCATCACTTTTGTATCTACCATTATTGTCAGTGTATTTTAAACAGCCTTCGTGACAATATGTTTTATTGTAAATTCTCTTTAAGGGAATTTGTACTGACGGGGATTTATTATCCATTTTTTCCTCTCTGACGAATATCGCTGTATCACTTTTAGCGTGGATATTTTGACGAAAGGACAGGGTTTTAAACAGCAAACGAGCTAAAATACACCAGTTTTTGTTTGTTATGATAAAAGTGCCGTGGCTTATGTGGCCTTCTGGAGGCGTGGGGGTTTGAGGGAGAGGTCCCTTGGAGTATCATATGAAACCGCGCTCTAAACATTCTCCGTAAAGAAAGGGTGCCTTTTTTGAAAATCCAAGCATTGTGAAAATAGTCTATTTTTCTATGTTAAAAATTATTTTTTTATTGAAATGATTTTCATGTTGGATGAGTTGACATTATCTTTTGGCTATTTCTAAAGGTGGTGCTTCCATGCATCAGCAAATGAAAATAGAGTCACTGAACCAGACGCTGCATAAAGAACAAATCTCAACCATGAAAGAAAGGGAGCAGGCTATGAAGGTAACAATCTTGAGTTTAGAGTAAAAATCTAAATGAATTTTTTACCAAATTCAGAGAAGCATATATCATTACATTATGATAGTTGCTAAAGGCCATATAAAGGGTTTTTACATATTTTCAATAAATGTTCCCATCTACCCCTCAACAATGTATTGGTTTATACGATATCCAGAACTCCATCGTTGTTGTCTATTTTGTCCTACCATATAGTCAGGATAGTGACCATTCAACTTACCAGTACTGTCCAGTTTTCAAAAGAACTGACTAGCTTCTAGCAAGTCTCAAGGGGTTCTTTGGAATACGAGAACATTGCATGAAATTTCGTACTTTAAAATGCCGAAAGTTACGTGTCACACCCCCAATAGTATCTCAGTAGGAAATTTCAGGTAAAATCCGTTCGGTGGAAGAAACGCTTTAGGTATTTCAGAGACCTCCCTGTCATAAAATAATAAAGGATCAAGCAAAGGTAGTTGCTCCGTTGGTTAAGTATGACATTTCTTGATAAGAATAAAGGTAAACAAACTAATGATTTGAAGATTTGAAGATTCCTTGTTGGCACTGAATCTAAAAATCCAGGCCCTCTTTAGGTAAAATTCTGCCTTATGTCCATTTCCCGTAAAGTTTCTCGGTAGATGCGTCAACAAAATATCACTATGAGCTCCAGATATATTTGCCATTGAAAAGGAATGCTAAGATGGAAAGAGGGATTTAAATTGACAACCAGTGCTGCTTGTTACCTAGCTTTATCAGTAAGTGACAACGTGGTATTTTTCAAGACCACGGCGAAATTGTACCAGTTGTTTTTATCTGGTATTCAATTTGTTTGCAAAAAAAGAATTTTCAATAGGATTAGCAAGATTGCTTTAGTGAAATTTACTTAAAAGAGTGCATTTTCCAGGGAACTGGAAGCATCAAAATTCGAAAATTTTCTGCTCCTTCGGCGGCAGCCATGGTGCCACCTCAGGTAGTAACTATGTTCTTGCCCGTCCCGATATGCACATTGGACAAAACTATTAGGAAAATCCGTTATTATCATATAAAAATAAAAGTTGCGAACTATATGCAGAGTTAGATTGGCAAAATGTATTGCAGAGGTTTGTGACAGCAACTAAAGAGTTTCAGGGAATAATTTGTTAATCAGGTAAATTTGTAGTCCACCCCCCCCCCCCCCCCCCCAACAAGGCTTGCCTCGCGACGGTCCTGACTAGGGGACTGAGGACATGCTTCCTGTTTACCTGCCCCTATTTGCGGTTTCTTTAATTTCATGGGCCGTGATCGTATAGTGGTTAGTACATTGCGTTGTGGCCGCAATAACCCAGGTTCGAATCCTGGTCACGGCATTTTTAGCAGTTTTAGCATTTTCTTCCCTATTTGCATTTAAACAGGGCCAAGGTCAGGGTCCCACGCTTCCAAATCTATATATCAAAATGGTTTCCCCCCTGGTGTCTCTGTTTCCCTAAAAGTCTTCCCATTTAACCTGCAGGCCTCATGCAGAAACCTAACGTAAGAGGCTAAGATGGAGAAACAGTAACAAATGAAAACAAAACATTATAAATTTTATGATCGAACTTTCAAAGTAAAATACTATCAATTAAAAACATGCAACCTTGTATTTCCCTAATGTTTTCTTTTTCATTTAGCTTGAGAGGGACATCGCAGAAAAAGACAAGGATATTAGCGAGTTGCGAGCAAGGATGATGCAGTACGAGATGGTACTTACACACTAACTTCTTTTTCGAGTCGTAAGGAACAACTCATAGTAAATTTTATCTCAATGGAACACCAAGTTTGTTCTATTGTGGTGATCTACGATATTTTCGTAATGTGAATATCCAACAGGCGTCGGTGGTGTAGCGGTTAGCATGGTTGCCTTCCAAGCAATCGATCCGGGTTCGACTCCCGGCTGACGCATTTTTTCATTTCTGCTCCAAATTAGTTTTAGGACTTGAATTTTTACGCGGAACTTTCACTTTTAGTTCAGTAACAATTTTTGCCGTTTTAATTGTCAGAACAATATTGTTAGGGTGATGTTTTATTGTTTGCGTTCTGAAGCTTCGGTAAAAATAATTTCAAGGACATTACCTTGTTGAAAATGGCTTTGAAAAAACAATCTTTTGGTGGTACAAAACTTGTAAATGGCTTTGAAAAAAGCAAACATTCAGTAAACTAAAGCTTTAAACGAGTGTCAAAGAGTGTCAGACGAAAAGCTTTGAAAAAAGGAAACATTTGAGTAAACTAAAGCTTTTCGTGTTCGTCTGACACTCTTCATCAGGGTTTAAAACGCCATGATATGATCGAAAACTAGAAATTACCTTGTTATTCAAGAAAAACTTTCATCTGTTTGTCGTGAGAAATTCATGATGAAAATTCCATTGAATGATTATTTCGCTAAAATAGTTCTTCACACAAATCTATTTACTCAATTTTTCTACTGGAACTTAGTTCGATTAACCGCACTGGCCAAAATTTCTCGTTGGTAACCACCCAGTAACCAATTGAACTATGTAAGGAAAACAAATTTTTACCCGGTATGACGTCTAAAAAAGTTTGTTTAGAATGTTTGACATGGTCAGCTGAATGTGTTGATAATTTAAGGAAATATTGCCAGTGAAAGATTTAAAGTTTGCTACCACATCACTGTTTTTAGCTTGATTTTGAAGTTTCGAACAAAAGACGATTTCTAGCACATTTAGATGATTGTGCATTTTCAGAGGTATTCCAGGTTGTCTGATACAAATTCAGAAATTCTTAAAGTAGATTCCGTATTAAGCCTTTTTCACTTTTAAAATCAACTAGACTAAGCAGTAACGTAAAATATGTTTTTAAGAGAATAAAAGGGTCGAAATATGATTCGATGTTCTTTTTGGCAATCTAGAGGGTGGTGGCATAAAAGTTTGGACCTCCTGGTTTTCAGCTCACTTTGCACGACTACCAGATTAATGCCTTTGCTAAATGCCAGCCGCCTTTTCCCTTAACGTACTTTTGGTAGTGCGGATAAAAGCATTTGTACAAGTCGAGGTGAAGTTTAAATACCTGGATGTAGATAAGAAAGAAAAAGAAAGTGATGACGAGCTTAGGTTTTTTGTTAATGATGGAAAAGAACCGAAATTTGGAAATGACAATTGATATTGAATTGAATGTACAATCACTGCCAAAGTTACTTGGAACACCCAACATTTTGCGCTGAGATTTCTCATTTTCATTTTGTTTTCCCGATTAAAACAATTTCCGTCCCCATTTCCCCCCAAAACAATGTTTAGAAAAACAGCATACAAGGCACACAAAAAAGCGTACTCCGTAACCCCCTTATTATTTCAATAGTAAATCAACATTGTTCCTAGGGGAGAGGGGGATGGCTGAATTTCCCTTTGAAGACTGAAGTTAGTGTTCCAAGACTTTTTGCAGTGATTTTAGTAGTACGTAAGCAATGTTCGTAGTTAAAAAATGTAGTTAAAAAATATTTAACATCTTTCAGTCATGCTTCGTCATCTTAGATTTGAATCTCCACATCCTCTGACATCTGAAAATTTCAAGCAAAGCATTGTTTCTTATTTGCGAAACCAACCAATGTAAAGCATAAATTGACGATGCTGATTTTGAAATTTCTGTGAGATGGAATTTTGGATTCAAAAATTACGATGGGAGTAATTTTCGGTTGCCCTGCTGAACCAAAAATGATTCTCAATAAAATGTTTGGTACTTAATATAACTAAACTTGAATTTTCCCTCGTAGGGCCAATTTGGTTTGCCAGAAGCTGTGCAAGAAATTAAGGAATTTAGAACAAAGATAAAAATTCGAGACAAGTAAGATTTTATTACCTTCTATTCTTATTGTTATTCGTTAAGTCTTAACACAAGACCTTGAAGGAGTATTTTAATTTCAAGATGATAGCGTCTCTTTTTCCAGCAAATTAAAATTTCCATTTATTACCACTGGTACCAAGTGACATTAGAAATGGATGCTTTTTAAATTTAATGTTTGAAAATATAATTTTCTTCGATGATTTTATTTGTCAAATTCTAATAGATCAAGCTACTTCCCGTTTCTAATGAATTCGTTGTAAGCTCTAGGAATGCTTTGTCATTAAAATAAAATGTTGAACCGAGCTCAGGTTTCAAAACTCGGTAAATTTCCATGTAGAAATATCGAAGACTTGACGCAGAGCCTCAATCATGTTCAAATGGAACTTGATGACTGCATGTTAGAAAATGAGGAGCTTAGAGAGCGTTTGGGACTGGACCCAAAAGAGCAACTAGATGCTGATTCAATACGCAAGAAAAAGCAAGTTAAGGAGGAGCAGGCACTGGCCCTTAACAGAGTCCTTGCGAAGGAGGTATGCTAGGCCGTTATTTGCATTTATAAGAATATTGAAGCTTAAATTTGTTGAATTTTGAATAACAGTTAAGAATAATATCTTAGCCCGAATTTCGTCTACAGTTCGGCTTTTTATCTTTGCTTTATATTTTTATCTTCAAATTCGCATTGTGTTAGAATATTTCAATTCCAAAATTGTTTAAGTGTTGAAGAAACTACAAAAACGATGTTGATGTTGATCGATGTTAGCAAATTTACAGGTTGTTACGCTTAAGAATGACGTAAGTATAATTTCACAACTAAAACTAGGAAATTTAAGAACATCAATGCTCAGTTAAAAATTTAGGTTTTCTTGATATAAAATTGTGTATTGCTCTATATATATATATTATTGCAGTTGCGCAGTCCTGACATGAAGGTTTCATGTTGTTTCTGCTTCTGCAGCTCTGCACACTACTTCTGATAATCTTCTCCATTCTTTGCGGTTCTTTTGCTGTGGATTGTATCTTTTCAAAATCTCCATTGTTCTTTATGTTCGGTAGTGAAAAAGACCTTTTCATTGCTCTTGCTCTGGTGATATCTTTATTTAAGGTTGTCACGAAAGTTTCTCTAGGTCTGCCTCTGAATCCCCTCTCCGATCCCTCAAAGTAAAATCTCATTGCCTTCACAGCCGGTGTATCGTCGGACAAACGTAATATGTAACCAAACAGCCGCCATCTACCCTTGAGGATGTCAATTGAAATTGGTCCTTCTTCGCAACTTTTGTACAAGTTCTGATTGGAGATCTTGTTAGGATACTTTTTTCCTATTAGCTGTCTCAGTTGCTGTCTGTGAAAAGCATCTAAACCTTTCGTATCTTTTTGTGTCAGTCCCCAAGTAGAGCAAATTAAAATTGCTCTCTTGTGCTTAAATTCAATGTCCACTTTTTTCTTTAAGTGGATGGAGGGGCTGAAAGTTATGTCTTTAAAGCCATAGCAATGCGAAGATTTAGTCCTTTTTTCAAATTGTAGATCAATATGATTATTCACAATTTTTCATTTTTACGTAAAATTATCAGATTTTCTTAATTGTACCTAAACCGGGTATAAATTTTGAATTAGCGTATATAGTGAGATTTTAAGGAACATCGTGTTTTGAATTTCCTTTAATGTACTAGGTGGAGAGATTGGAAGAAGAGAGGCAACATTTAAAGAAAATGCTTAGAAAACAAGCAATGCACAGAGGAGAGAGGTTCGTCCGTTAAAATAGATCATTATATTGATACAAACTAAGAAATTAATTATTAAACTTTCTTATGCTATGTCATAATTGACAAACTATGTCATGATTGCCTTTGAAATATGTATATATGTCATGATTGACATGTTCTCTGACATTTTTCTTTTCACTATTAGGGCAGTTGAGCTTGGCCTTACAACTGAAGATCTTGTCACTGTGGAGGATTTGGTCTCGCAAGAAGAACCTGTTATCAAACCAATCAGCGTGAAAGAGGTGCACGCAGATGCCACTCAGTCGTTTGTAAGTATACTTGACCTCTTTTACATTCAGTCGACTTCACTCATATGTTAGCCCCGTTTTTTTATAGGCCCGTGTTAAAGTCCTATAAAGAAATCACTTTTGGTCACACAAACATAACCATAGGACAGGTTTTAACCTAGCACTTAAATATTTGCCTGAAGTATTGTCTATTGAACTTTGAATGTCTGCTCCTTATCTCATTTTTTATCACCTTCTTGAAAAGTATTTCACTTGAGAAGTATGAAATATTTTAGATCAAACTTTTTCCTTTTTTTTATACCTATCGTAGTTTATATCTTGCTTTTTTGCATGCTTAGCTGGTTTTGATGTTTTAACTTATGTGAAAAGTTACATATCAAGCACTTGATTTGTAAAAACAAGGGGGACCGTACTCATGTTCTTCACATGTTTCCTATTACCCTCAAGGCATACCATAAAGGTAGAGAGATGTTAAATCCTGAAGAAAAGTCCAAGCTTGAAAAGAGTAAAGAAAAAATGAAATCAAATGTGACAAAATTGGAGAATGAAAATAAGGTAAAGTCGTTATCTTCTTAAAGCAATGTTTGTAATTTGTAAATATTTGCAATTCAAGTTCAGATAAAACCCTAGCCTGTCCTTTGTCACTAAGGGGAGTTTTTGAGTGAGTGATTGCTAGCTAGCTTTTCTGAATATTATATTTCAGTGTGTAAAAGTGCGTTTTGAATAGAATCAATTCAAGCAAAGTTAGTTGCAGATAAAAATCAGCATTTCTTCTTGATGTATTTGTATTTGTATTTGTATTTGTTGCTACCTAGCATCCGAAGGTAGTTTTTAGGATACTTAGAAGCTTACCCTTCACTAGCTTATCAAGCAGTGTCCTGGTCCTTTCTCTCGATGTGACCACACCTCGTGATTCATATGCCTGGAATTACAGAAAGCTGGCGACTCCCCCCACTCTGGGTGAAAGTTTGGTCATGCCAGGTACTCGAACCACGGACCCTTCCTCGCACCTTCTCGATGTGCAGATGGCGTTATGCAATTCTCTATAAATATTTCGGTAGAAACTCCTGAAACTAGATTTTCTTAATCAACATTGTGATTCTAAGAGTGATGTGAGTTTTTGGCAAGATATTCTCATTAAAAGTTGAAATAACGTTACACAAAGACGTTTTCTGTTATTTTGGATAAAGGAAATTTGTCCAGTTTATGGTATTTATAAGCCGCGTCATTTTTTATTGATCAATATTAGGAGTTAAAAGATGAAAACAAGCAACTTGAAGTTGGTCTTAGAGAAATACTGGCTCTTGTGAAAGATAACCGATTCAAAGAAGGTAAGAGAAATGGGAAAGTATATTATACATTAATTTATTTTAATTAATTGCTTAATCAAAAAATTTTAAGAAAAATTATTGGGTTTTGTTTATCTTGGTCCTTTTTTTAGACTTGAATTTTATTCGTTATTAAACTGCATTTTGATTTTTTTTAGATCAGAATGGGCCGCTTGACTTGCGAATTCCAGCGCTGGAGAAATTAATCGCGGTGAGATTTAGCACACCTGCTTTTCCAACCTGAATCAGCCAGAAAATATTTTTGGGTATTTTCTTCTGATAAACTATTTTTGTGGGAATATGTGTATCAGAATTCTATTTTTTGCAATTTTTGCAGATGATTGAGTCCAGAAATGCAGTTGGACAGTATGATACAAACTTGAAGCTGAAGGCTGAGGTGAGCCGTTGTTGTTTTTTCCATTTTTCTGCTCTGAGTTTGTGAATTTTGTTTATGGGTTTTCATTGAATTTAGGTTTTCGTAACAAATTTTATATCAATTGGCCTTATTACGTCACTTATACACATATATTCTAGTTGCTGTGGACTTGAACTTATTATCGGGCACTAGTTTTCAACGATTCCTTTTCATTAGTTTTGTATGGAAAAATAAATCACTTTTCCACTTCAGCTTGATCGAACAAAACTGCCATACATATTTGTGCTTTTAACCATAGATTGATCAGCTGAATGGCAGAAATGAAGAACTGAGGTTGGAATTGAGAAACTCCAGGAATGAAGTTAACGGACTGACTACAGAGATTGAGCGAAAAGATCAAAAGGCAAGTAGCAGCTCATACAATCATCATGGAAATATAGATGATTCTGGAACAGTTACCAGATGGTCATATTAAGCGTGAAACCCGGAGTAGCATATTAGAACCGCCCTGTTCTATACACCAATAGGGTGTACAGCTCTTCTTATACGGCACGGAGCACTTTATGACAGATCGGGAAACAGTACTTTTTATTAGATAATTCTTGACATAAGATAAGGGTAGGGGTACAGAGATAGAGGTACAATTATGCACTTTCCTTTTTTGCAAACGCAAATAGAGCTGTATCATGGAACAGGGGTCTCTGACGATGGTGGAATGACCCCTTATTACTTGAGAAGCAAAATACTTCCGGCACATACTTTCTTTATAAGCCTGTAATTAACACTTGTTCCTGCCAAATTTTTCGGCTGGTGTCTGAATCCCTGAATGCAATCTGTGAATTCTCTGCTGAAGAGCTCAATCTGTAACCATTTTTTTTATGATTTTCAAACCGTGATCAATAACTCAATTAAACATATTGTATTACTTGCAGAGACCCTTTCTGCGAACCTTTTCGGACACACTGCTTTGCTATAATGCAAAATTCTATTTATCAGGCAATTAGTTAAAAATTATTTCTTGCTCAATGTCTTTCCTGATCGTAGTTTTAATTTTGTATCGCTACCTTTCTATGTTATTTTCTATATTGTCAACAGATGCTGGAAGCGGAAAAAGAAGTGGAGCTTTTGAAAGAAGCCGGTAAAAACTAAAGAACTTTATGTAATCACGCATGAAATAGTTAATGGTAGATACAAGGTCTTCCTGGATAATACCTATCGATGTTGAATCAGCTTCGATAGTGTATCTCTTGATACCTGTTACATACCGTCTCTTCCCTCAAGCCAGCCTTACTATATGACTCTCAATAGGATCTTTAAAGAGTGTTGCTTTCCTTGGAATACATTATATTATCGTACTTCATTAACCCATAGCTGGTATTCATGCTATGTAATTCTTGAATTTGTTGTTATCTGTAGGCCAAGGGATCATCAAACTCAGTCCATTTCAACTGCCACAAGGGATGAATCCATCATCAATCGACATCATTGCTAGCCTCAACGAATTTCTCATTCAAATTCTTCAGGTAACATAATATCTGCCACAGTTGTTGTAATGAATCAGAGAGCCTTGCTTTTTAAACATTGTTAATAAAACTTACAACTTTTTTCAGTGTCAAGGCCCCATGTCTCAGAATCACTTTATTTTTTATCTCCATCATCAAAAGATAATTCCTTTCCCGGCAGATTTCCGAACCTAGCTATGGTCGATCACTGTTTTGCAAGTCACTATCGTACTCAACCATCAGCCATTCTTTTTTGATGGTATCTTTTTCATGACATCTGCCTAGAAAAAACTTGTCACTGAAGATTTTGTGTGAAACATAAATACGGTTTAAATTGCAACCTTTGCCTACTTCAAATCTATTTTCTTCTTGAAGAACCGTATGGTATTTGTTACTCAACCGTTTTGCTTTGCTTGAGATCCAAAAAATCGACCAACGAATTTTTTCAAATTACCTGAGTTTATGTTGTAACCACTCTATGTTTATTAGGCTAATAAATTTATCCTAGGTGAGCAAAAGGTACAATGACTAAATTCCTTTAAAGGGTGTGTTACAAGACTTAGAGGGGTCTGGATACATGCAGTTTTCTACTAGTTCTTAACCTGGAAATGAGTCGCTTTATTTTGAGGCTACCTTTATAGACTGACCTTCTTTTTTGTCATGTAACTTTGTGTAAACTTTCCGGCAAAATTCAACTGATGTTTGCAGGAGCTTTCCAACAAAGAAGAAGAGTTCAAAACCATGGAAGAAAGTTTACAGTCGTACAAGAGGAAGTTCTCTGTTACTATGCACCAGCAGGTGTGTTTTGATGTACTTAGTTCATTTTCAGTTATGGATAGGGTCAGGATGCATTGATAGCCAGTTTTTAACAAGAAGTCCTTGCCAGTAGCATCGAGAGGGAGCAACATGGGATAAAATCACCTTTCGGCTTTGTATAGCAACCATCAGGAATACTTTAGCTTGGTTAAGAAATAGCTGCTTGAAATGGTTACCTTTCAAATTTTCCATCGCACAATAAAGACACGAAAAGAATTGTTTCATGTTTTCATCGAGCCTAATGGGCAGATTCTGGCGCATTTACGGGGGCTTCGAGGGGTGGCTAGAATTAGCTCTTGGTAAGACTCTGGCCCAATCTTTTTCAAGCTACTTTTGCAGTTTATTTTGAGTCAGCTAACTTTTTTATTTGTAATAGCCACTTTGAAACCAATTCCAAAGCAGGGCCACGTTTCACTTGTTAATTGAAATTCAATTTTGAGCTATGGTGAATTTTACTGTCTTGTTTTTAGAGTATACTCTATTCCCAATATTTGGAAGAGAAAGAACAAAGAGAGGTCGAGCTTCAAAAATTTCGAGAAGAGAACAATAGTTTGAGCTTAGTCAGAGATCAAGACCAGATTCGTATACAAGAATATGAAGTATGAGTTTATTTTTATTGATTCGTTACCGGATATCAACCAGTAATCTACAATCGGTGCGGCACTTTTCTAGATATGCATATGCTATAACCATGCTTAAGGCAATCAAAAATGTTTCAACATCCTTATTTATTGTTTAAATGCTTAAACTTCAACTCTTTATTTATGATATGGCATTAAAGCTGTCCAGTGTATTTTGTTACATGCTAGAACATATGCTACCAAATTTGAAGCTTGCCCTACCTAAATTCAGTATGTTTTTACATTTATCCCTACAATTTTTTATATGCAATGATTAAAATATCTTACGTTTAAGCGTGTATTGCTTTTTTGTAGCGTTTGTTGGAAACACTTAGTCGTGACCCTGACAGGCAAAAATCTCGTTTATCTGAGTATGCTAGAAAAATAACATTGCTACGGGTAAACGAGAAGTCCCTTTCGAGAAGGTATACAATTCTTAAGGAGTCAGAGGAACACGTTCGAAAGGAATGCAGCAAGTTGAGGAATGATATCACGTCGGTGGAGAATGCTGTAGTCGAGAGAATTGGCTATCTTACACGATATAAGGTTGGTTTGGAGGATTTTGAGATCTAATTTCCCATTTTTTTAGCCAGCCTATTAACCTGCTATATTGTGTTATATTTTATATGTTATGTTATATATTTTATGTTATGTTATGTTATATTATGTTATGTTTTATTGTAAGTTTTCTTATTCAGTCATTTATGCTGTAACCCAATCGCAATTTTCCATACTGTAGGAAATGGCATCTTACAGAATAGCAGCCCTTCAAAAAGCGTTGGATGAAAGTGTGCCTGAACTTGAGCTGCAGCTTGCCAACAAAAAATATAACGAGCTAACCGCTAAATATAGAGACCTTCTTCAAAAAGAGAACATTCTGATCTCAAGATCAACAGCTGTTGAAAACCTTGAGGTAAGATTTCTCTGATCATAAGCTGGTTGGCTAGGAAAACATTTTTGTGTTTTAGTGACGGATGATTTTACCTTATTAAGTTCTATCAGACATGGTGATCAAATCACCCTCTTATGAGCAATCTACTTCCGAAGGTGATGGAAGGTATCAATGTTCTCCATCGTGGCATCTTACTTAGCTTATTCCAATAAATTGATATAATAAAGGTCTTAAGTGTGACGTCGTGGAGTATTCCGTGATTAGGTTTTTTCTGACTGCAATCGTTGTCTTCAAAAGTGGAATTTCCCTCTAATTTGCTGTCAATCAACTAAAGACATTAGGCATATGCAGCAACTTGAATTACAAACTTCAACAGCTCGAGTGTAATACAATAAAACACTGTATCCATAAATAATGAATTCTAAAATCCCGTTTTCAGTACGAAAAAAAGTTTCTTGAAGAAGCTCAAGCGACCCTAAGGAAACAATTACACGTTGAGAAGGAAAGAAGTTATGTGCTTGAGCAATCAATGAATGATTTATTGAAAAAAGGTAAGAAAAAAGTTTCATAGGTTTTAAATTGAATTATTATCATACAAAAGCCTTTGGTATTATTAAAATCATCACAATAAGTTAATACAATGAAAGACATTAACCAAAAATGCAGTGCTTCAGTCCTTTAATGTTTTTTTTTTTGGTCAGCAATGTATTGTTGTTTTGTAAGTGCGTTGCAGTTGCTCTTTCTCTTTGGACCAAACTGCATTGCTTTAAAGAATGGATGTCTCTTGTTTTCTATTCCCATCACTTTTGCTAATTGCATCAATTTCTCTATTAGTTGGAGATACGACAGGGAAGAGCAATATCAGGCAGGATGAGATAACCTCGATTGCAAGGCAGTTGGCAACCCTGGAGATGAAGGTATATTGAATTCGATCACTGTGCTTCTTTTACTTAATACCTTTGTGATTCGTATGTAAGCTCTGCTTTATATGTTTACATATAACATTTCAATAAAAACGACCAAGAGAATTGACTTTTTACTTGTAGGGTTTTGTCAATTCCTTTATTCCTTAAGATCACTTTCTCATTCAAGTCCGAACTTTACTTACCGGATAAAATAAAGCATTTCAATGGAAGAAAAATAGGCAATTCTAAATTCTGTGTGATTCCATACATCCGTTAATTATTGTACCGGTACCATATGAAGATAATCTTTGTTTTAATACAATTTCAATGATGCAACTGAAGCTTCATTTATTGTTTATAAATTTTATTCATTGATATTTTACATATAAATTACTATCATTTGCTTTTGTAGGAACTAAATGAGAGACAGAGAGCGGAGCATGCCGTAAGGAGGAGGGAACAATTGCAATCAACAGTAGCTGAGTTGGAGAATAGAATTGAGGAACTGGAGCAAAAGTTTGCTGAGGTTTGACAAGCCTTCTCACTTCTGCCATTAGTTTTTGATTTCTGAGATTGTTGATAAAGTACTGATCAAAACCAACTATTGTATTCAATATTTATCAAAGTTTTATTTGTGGAGACATTAGCTAACAACCATTTATTTCTGCAGCTCACGAAAATAAATTTGGACTCACAAAGAGTCGAACGGGAGTTGCGTGAAGAACTTATCAGTAAGTCATGCATTGCACCTATTGATTACTCGACATCTCTTTCTCATTTTTGAGGTAGAATATCAAACACCATTATTTCATTTCGTTATGATTCACTGCTAAATGCTTGATATCTATTATCCGTCAAAACAGGAAGAACTGACCATTTTATCGTGGTTAATTGTAAGTTCAGCAAGGGTAGTGGGGGCAGTGGCACTAATTTAGCTCACTTTTCCAGTGAACGATGCATTAAAGTGGCCAGATCCTGAGGAATACAAAAGAACAACACCTTTGCTGTCTTACCTTTTAGATTCGATCCAATGTTTTCGTTAAATAAATAGGAAATACCGAATTTTAAGGGTGCTTTTAGAATCAATACAAACTTTTAATGCAGATGTGGTTTCTTGGAAAATATCATTTTTAATGCAATCCATGTATTGAAACATGATGCGAGTTTAAAATGTCATGCATTTTTAGACGCGGTTCCAGCTGAAATTAATCGAGCTGACAAAAAACGCATCGGAGAACTAGAAGAATCGGCAGCCAAGTTAAGGCTGGAAATGTCACGATTAAAAGAAGTTGCTGAAATTGCAAACGATCAAGCCGAGACAGTGACCTCCAGGCAGCAGGCACAGGAGAAAGAGCTAACGTCACTGAGAAACCAGCTTCTTGATATTCAGATGGAAGGGGACGAGAAGACTATCATAGGTATTGTTTTGATGTCAGGTTAATTAATGTAGGTCTTTAGGTATATACAATCAATGAAAAGTTTTTGATAGGACAATTACTGCAAGCACGCTGTCTCAGTTAATCTTTTTAAAGGCATTTTCAATGTACTGTAGAATTATGAAGGAAAATATGAATTTTAATGTCCCGTGAAACTATAAATTTTAGGCAAGTACCTGACTGACTAGCAGTGATTTAGTTGTCACTAGGCTTCAGAGAACAACAACTATATCTGCTGATGTTTCTGCAATGATATTTCAAGACGAAGAGCAGCTACTTATTTAGCTCTGACTAGTTAATTTATGCTGAAGCATTCAGTAATTTTTATCGATTTCAGCAAAACTGCACCAGCACATTGTCGCACAGCAAATAAGCGAAGCGACTGCTGTCCGGAAGCTTGAAGTAACAAATGCAAAGGTTTGATGCTTATGATATCTTGATTTACTTTTGTTTAATAAGTTCAGCAAGGCGTTGTTTGCTTACACAGAATACAACTGCGTAGGTTACTTGTAACCGTCTTTTTGCAGCAGCTTTTGATGAACTTTTTTCCTTTCATTGAAACCTCAATATAGCTTGATTTTTGTTGTTGATCGCTTCAATAGGTAAAGAGACTAGAGGTTGCCATACTGCGAATTGAGCAGCAGTTGGATGAGAAGGACCAGATCTTATACAGAACTCGGATGGAGGCGAGAGCCAAGGCGAGGTTCTTGCAAAAGACAGTGCAGGTAAAACTATTAGCTTCTTAAAACTGTTATTTTGTGCTTCAAACTTTTCGATAGCCCTATGACTAATAGTTTGTGGAAGTTTTACGGGCAGGCTGTTGACAATTTTCTGCAAAATTTACACTGTGTGGCCTGTGATATCTGCAACTTTCGTCTTGAACATGCGGCAACACTCATGGTTCCCCTTCAAAGAACAGTTGACTATAACGAAACTAATATAATTTGCATTGTTTGCTTTCCAGGATCTGCGAAGACAATTTAGTGGCGCTCTGCCTCTAATTAAGCAAGAAAAATTTGCACAAACTTTGAGGATGTTGCAGGACAGCAAGGCAGACCAAGATGTCCAGCTGAATTTAGTATGAAGACGTTTACATAATTTCTTTGATGAGTACTTGGATACCTAAGTATGTTATGCTAATACTTTTCCATGCTCTCTTCATAGAGATTAACATGCCTTATTTGCTGGGGTGCTGTTTCTCCTTTTAATCTACTCTTTACAGCGATTTTCGTTTTTTATATATGATTAATAGTGCATGAATCTCAGACAGATAACTTTTCTTTTGAAGTTGAGAACCAAAAGCCAAGAGGCCGAGGGCAGAAGTTCCGAATTAGAGTTGAAGCTCGTCAGCCTGCAAGATTTAATCGTCACGTTAAAGGATGGAAAGGGTGCTGAAAAGGTGGGTGATTGTTGATGGTTTTCTATTTTGTGCTTGATCTTTGATGTTTTTTATAAATGTTGTATTCGGTGCTATCCTCATGCTCCCATATGTAAACAGTACTGCTGCTGGTTGATGTTTAGATACGACTAATATTGGCTATGTGGCTTGGATATGTTTAAAATCATTATTTAATTAGCTGATACCAAATCTGATTGAAAACATCTGACGTCAGTTCTTATGAAAGCTAAATGTTCCGGACTGGACGCTTTCAGAAATTCATTTATTCTATTTTTTCTCATTTTATGCAGCAAATCCGAAACGAATTCCCTTTTTGCCACTACGTGTCAAAAGTGTCTTAGACTTTCTTTTTTTAAGGGATATTTTTCGTTTCAGGTTGCGGAATGGCACAACAGAATGGCTGAAATACGTCTCCAAGATATGAAATTAAGAAGACAGCTGGAAAAAAACGAACAGAGGGTATTCAAAGGTTTCTTTTCAGGCCTGTCGTATAACTAGTACTTCAATTTGAAACTTTCCTAAGGGTTTTACTGAATCTTATATCGGTTTTTTCCTCAAAAGGGCTGAATCAATATCCTTTTTGGTAATTATTTAAGAAAATATGTATAGTTTTTTGTGGACTAGATTTGAGGCCTCTGGAGCCGCGTTCTCTATTCTGTTTAAACTTACAATAAACATTGGCTCACCTTAAGCTGACTGGTTAGAAGTCTGCTGCTAGTTTTATTCAGATTTTAAAATTCTAATTAGAACATCTACTAATTTTTCTGAAGGTACGTGCTAACTTAAAAGTGAAGGAACTTAATAGGAATGTCCCCGAGAGCTGCTACTGGACTCGCTTTTGATAACAGGCCTATCATTTCATGATATTCTCATAAAAATGTACCCTTTGCCAATATTATATACAATGAGAATTGAGTCAATATTAATTTATAGATATCACGTTTAGATTTGAATTCCCTCAAAATCTTGCCTGTAGTGGCACTTGATAAAGTTTTGACATTGTTTTACATTTTGCATTCTATCGTTGCATTTAATTTAATGATTTCAAAGCTAAGGTCAGGTTATTTGTTAGATTTTCATCCTATTCATTACTTCTTATACATATTGAAACTTTTTTATGCAGATCAAATACTTGGAAGATCAAAACAAGCGACTAGAAGAATCAATTTCTCTTCTTGAAGATGAGAATTTCAAGCAATCTAAAGTAAGTCTAGGACATCGTTAAATTGTATTTGTATTTGTATAATGTTCGCTGAATTTAAGTCTTTTTAATGTTACAAGCTCGTGGAAGTTTCCTTTTATTACATTTTTTTTATATTTGCACCTTCTTTTAATGTGAATAGGTATCTTTAGCAAATTTTCTAAATATCTTCGAATCTTACCAAGGAATACGAGGATCGCCAGTTAGTCTGGGAGCAATATGAAGTTGAACTGGAAAGAAAGATAGCAAGACTGGAGAAAAATCAAGACGAATTGTTTGAAACGGCACAAAAGGTAAGTGTTGCTTATGGAAGAAGATAGCTGTTCGCTTTCTTTTTTTCATTTCCATTGGAAACTTTGTTGTGCTCGATGGGTCACTGTAATATTTATAACATATTCAGTGCAGTATTTTAAGATGTTGTTTGCATGCTAGTTCATTGGTTTGCAATCTTACTTGCATATTTGCTTCCCATAGTATTGTGCAACCCCAAGATTATAGCAGATTTTATGGGAAAAGATTTTATGGGAAATCAGTCGATTTCGTTGCTTAAATGCAATCCCAATCACTCGTAAACACTGTTAGCCATTTGTAATTTTAAGCGACGTGAATCCGGATAGGGGGCATGTTTTGCTATATGCTATTTCCTCATCCACATTAGCGTTTTCTCATCCAAGTAGATTTGCTAATGCAGTCCAAAACTCCTTTATATGTAAACAATGAGGTTAATCAGATTACCGAACCCGGATTCGCTAGTTCCATCTACTGTCTGTCACTTTGCCATATATCTCCGGCACAGTTCAGGATATACCCTGTGTGACGAGTCACCAATGCTTACCTTGTTTATTACAGTTTGAAGAGGCCACAGGTTCCTATGTTGATCCCACTCTGCCAATTGCAAATCAGTTGGAAATGGCGATAGTGAAGCTCAAAGAGCACATCAAAACAGTTGTTATCACAAGAGCAGAGGCGAAAAGGTTAAAAGCGGTAAGTGGAAAATTAGACGTTTTCTTTTGCATCTCAAGTTGAACATGTTCATAAGATTGCTGCAAGGAAAGGAATAAAAGCAAATTAAGGCTGCTGCTTCACCACTGGAGCCAGTTTGAAGATGAGGGATATTTGTGGAAACATAGATATTGTGGGACATTGTAAAAATGCGTGCAAGCTAAGATTTCCAAAGCATGGTAATGAAAAAGATTGGATCGAGCTCTTGTGGGGACAAGAGTGTCGTCATCCGAGATGAGAGACCAAGATTAGCCCAAAGAAGGAGAGGGCCTTCATTGTCGCTCCTAGCAATGTTTTCAGTACCCTGGGTACCAGAGAGCCGTTAAAATTTTCCAGAGTATGTTTTCAGCTGCTCTGGTCTTTTTCTTTTTCAGCACTCATACACACAGCATTGCAGCTCTCTCATATCCATACCGTTCATGTATTGGTTTGAGGAAAGTTATCCCGCTTTTGTTTGGGGCCCTCTTTCTTTTGAAATTGAGCGGGCTTCAAACTTTGGTGTCTCAAAACAATAAGAAGCTCGATCCAGTCCTTTTTATAGATCTGGTTATGTTTAGGTTTTTGAATAAAAAATGTTATGGTGCATGAGGAAAGCGATACGTTGTAGATGGAGGAAATATGTTAATTGCAAAAAATTTGTAACTAAATATTATTTTATGGTTTTCAATGATGTGTTTTTCCAGAACATGCAAGAATGGGAACAAAAGTTGCAAGATGCCGAGAAGAAAATTGTCAGAAAAGATCAGGTATTTTTTTGTATTTCTCGTATCTTTAACTATGAAATTTCAGGTTTTCTCGTATTTTATGTAAAGGCAATTGAAAAATACGTATGCTATCTGTCAGTCAAATATTGGCCAATCAAGAAATGCCATTCAAGAAATGCCTAGGTGGTATTACACCTATTGATGGTCCAATCGTAGTATGCCCCGACGCATTTCGCTGGCCATTTATATTTCCCATTGGTTGGACACACAAGAGACCTATTGTTACGTATCCAATCGGCTAATTCTCGATGGTTCCTGGATCATAAACTTGCTGCAGAGCCCATTGTTAACTCTGCATGGATGACTAACGGAACATAATGCCTCTAATTCAACATTTGACTCTGTAGAATTATTCGCGCTTATCAATTTTCAAAAGAGGCAGCCGTGGTTTCTGGTTACTTCATCTTTAATATATGTAATTATGATAATTTCGAATAATAGGGACATTTATTTGGCTGTAATACATTTTGTAACACAAGTGTAAATGCTTTCAACTGCCCCAGTAAATTTGTCGGTATTGGGTTACAAACTTCTCAACTTTTTCGGAAGAGTTTGATCATTTACACAAACGGGGCATCTAGAGTGTTATTTCTCAAAATTTGTTGAAACAGTAAAAAAATTACCTTTTAGCTGATTAACGAGCTCCGCTTGCGAATTCCAATATCCGAGAGAGGTATTCTTCCACAAGAGGTTGGGACTGTTTCTAGTGAAAAGTCCCACGAGGAGCAGCATGCCCAGAATGCTTTGCAAGTGGCGCAGTCAACAGTCGACAGTCTCAAGGTTGAGCTTCCTTGTATTACACGGCTATTTCACTATCCATAATGCACCAGTGACGTAGTTATATTTTCAGCTGAATTTGATTTTTTTAGCAGCAATACTGAATCGCAAAATAACATTCCAAATGAGAAGAAAAAACAATATATTTTAATTATTTTATATTACATATATACATTATTATGTTGCATTTATAATACAATGATATACTTTATGAGTTGAAAAAAGATTCTGAGTTGAAAAAATCACAGTCATGCCAAGATGTAGCTCTTGCCTATAGAAATCGGTCTTATATTGACATATGAAGTTGTTTTTTCTTCATTTGCCATAAGTAAACCCATTAAGTGAACCCACTTATTCAATTTTAGCATTTGCATAATTCAAATTCAATCTTAATCATATTCATCTTATAACTTTATAGATAATGATTAAAAAGAAGGAAGAAACGATTTCCAAGTATCAGGAAATGCTGAAGTCTCTTAGAGAAGTATGGCAATATTTTTGAGTCACTCTTGCCAATTTGTGCTGAATTTTTTGTTTTCTCTGAAGACTGACTTTTTAGGCACTGCTGTTGTAGAGGTATTGCCTTAATGTGATGAAATATTTGTTAGACTGTGATGCAAAGCTCTACATTCACCTCAAAATGATTGCCCAAAGATTTGCTTCTGGTAGAATCAAATGGCTGCTTGTAAATTTCGCACTTAATCGCCCATACCAAACCTCCAGCAAGTTAATTGCAAGCACTTTAGCCACCTTTGTCCGGAGGGGTCTTTTTGAAAAAGGATTCTTGCATCTCAAATTTCATTACTACAAATGATTTTTCTTTTCATATCTGCAAATGTCATTTTGATATCTAGGACATGAAGGCACAAGAAGAGTCACATAAACATGAGATGAAAGTCATTCAGGATAGACTGCACTTAGAAATAGAAGAGAAAGTGAAGAAGTTGAAGAAAATGCATTTGGTACTTGTTGCTTTACTTGATTACAATGTCCAAATTATTTTATGGGGAAGAATATGTCGAACTTGTTTAGCGGGAAATATTTTTGTCTAACAACGATGCTGTTATTTTTCTGAAAGTGTGCATTTTTATTACCTGACGGTGCCTCTTATCCCTGTATTGACCAATTTGAAAGCTTTTATATTTCATTTTGAATTTGGCCTTCTTTCTTGTTCTGAAGATTTCAACTTGTTGTTAATGCACATCTGTGATTATAGCCCAATTTTCCATCACTTAAAGTCACAAAGTCATATTATTCCTTATTGTCTTAGGAGTACATAAACGCCCCGCAGCCACCAACGCCATCAGAAAGACAGGTATGTTGTGTAACATTGGCTACAGAACAATCTTGATTTCAAAGATAAAGTTTCGCAGCCTGAAAATACTTGACAAAAAAGCAACCAAATTTTCTGTGTGCATTTCTTATTTCTTTCGACCCAACCAATTATCAGTTGAAGGCTCTTCTGTTTTCTCTGTGAAATTTTTATGTGGTTAACCATCAGTAATGATTTTTTTTAACTACGTAGGGATAAAGAATGCTTATATTAAATTGCTATCTTGTATTTTGTGTAGATTTTGTGTTCCTTCCTAAGCTTGGTATCAAGGATTACATCAAGGATACGCATGCAATACGGACGTATATATCTAGTAGATAGTGTAGACTTTAAGAAAATCAAACTATATGTTTTGTCTCTTCAAGCCTGTTTTGTGAATAACTCTCTGTTCAAGAGATGTTGATTTACTCTAAACTCTATCACACTCTACGTGCAAACGTATTGAACACTGTGCTACGGATGTATCAACAAACAAACTTCTATATTGTATAAATGTGTATATTCTTATTTTGTTTCTGTAGCTGAATAGGCTTGCCGAATTGGAAGAAATGGTTGCAGAGCAAGACAACAAATTAGCTGTTGCAAAGGAACAGGTGAAGAAAGGAAAAGATGATATTGAGCGACTGAAGGAGAAGTCAGATGTTGAGCTTAGAATGCAAAAGAAGAAGATAAAAATGTATGTTAACTTACAATCAAAAGACTTTTTTATATCATTATAAGAGATTTGCAAGCAGTCTTTTGGTCTGCACGGTCTCTCTTAGGGAATTTAGAACTAGAATCACAAAATAATAATACTCGACTCTTTGGAGTTTTAAGGATTTGTTCGAAGTTTTGTTTGAAGAATAACTACATGGCTCACTTGGTTTTCTGTAATTTATCTGGCAGGAAAGAAGAAGAACACAAGGCGGAAATAGAGAAACTGAACAAGGATATTGAATTAGAGCAAAACAGAGTCGCGGAGCTTAGCAAGGAGGTTCGTCTATCATTGTTTATGGATTTAGTTTTCCTTATGAACATTATCCTTTTATAACATTAGCTTTACTTTTTCAGGTCTACATCAGGTCTCTTGAGCTGCCTTAGCATGAACTGAATCGACAAGTTAAAACATTTATCTGTTTATGTTTAAGGTTTTGGTTCTGCAGTATATGAGTTAATTTCATGTTTAAGGGCACTTTACTGACACTGGAGGTGTGAGTTTTATCCAAGAGTGCTTTTGTGGCTACCTGAAACACATTTCTGTAGCTAATGGGGTAATCATCTGCAGTGAACATTGTACATGCTGTAGTAAAAAGTTGAATCTTGCACCTTTTAATTTCGTTGCCGATTCAACTGTTTTCAGATCGAGATTCTGAATGATGATCTCCATGCTGCGAAAGAGGCTAATGAAAGAGCACCAACAAAGACCATGAAAGCTTTGGTTGAAAGACTTAGGAATCAATTAGCCTTGAAGGAGAAACAGCAAAAGGTGAGGCGTCGCTTTATTTCAATCTGCGTACAATCTTGCCGTTTTGAGATTAAAAACCGTTCACAGATATGGAATTTTGAAGGTAACAGTTTTACATTAAAAAATTAACTTTAGCAATTAATATTTGCTTTTCTCAAAGCCATTTTTAAATTTTGTGCCACAAAAAGATTGTTTGAATAATTAGCTTAATTAAATGCCAAAGATAAAGGAATTCAGTAAGTGTCGTGTTACTAAATTGCAGTAATTTGTTACTAAATTGTCATCCACATTCGTTTACTCGAACTAATTTCGTTTTTATTGCAAAGGCTAAACATTTTGACCACTAGGGCTTATTCTTTTAAGAGGATTCGTCTTTCTGTATCCACATAGCAATTTATTATCCTGCTACCACTAAGAATATGCATGATTATTACTTTGTTAAAAGGTAAAAAAAAGCGTGCTTAGAGCTCACTTATAGTGAGCATGAACTATTTCCCAACCAGCTATTTTAAAGGGTAAGTGAATTTCAAGGATTCAGAATATCGTCTTATTTTTGGTCTCGTTTCCTGCCAGGCGTTGAGTCAAGCATTGTTACAGTTGAGAAGAGACATGGTTAATCAAGCTGAAGAAAACGTCCAGGTTGCCTTCTACTCGTTTGCTCATTCTGTTCATAATTTTTATATCATCATCATCTTGTTCTTTTCTGTAATTTTCAGTTGTTTCCTTTAAATTGGTGGCTTCAAATGACAAGCTTAAGTTTCGTAATTTCTACTCCAGAACCTTTAAAGATCTTTTTAGCAGCTTAAGAAAGTGATTACAAACCTGTAGTGCCCTACTCATCCACGCCTGGTCTTTGAAGCAAAAGCGTGCCTTGTTTATCTCTCATATACCCTGTTTTTGCTCATTATATACCCTATATCGAACTTATTTTTCATCAATTTGTTTAGACTCATGCAAGAAAAGCAGAAGATGAGCTGAATGTGCAGAAAATCGTCGATAAGCAAACATCTTCATTAGAGGTAAAGGTCTTTACTTTATTTAATAATTGCTGAAAGCATTATGTTTTTCGACATGGTGCATAAAGATCCTGCTTGCCAGTTTTGTAACATGCTGATCAAACACCATACTCAACCTTTTTAGAGAGGCAATCATCTGATGACCATATCTTGAAAAATATTCCAAACATGATAAGTGTCCGTGGTCTAGTCCCATGTTATTATGGTGTCCATGGTTTTGATGTAATCTATTTCTTTCTTACACCGTCTTTAGTCAAAAATAGAAGAGCTGCAAGCAAGGCAAGAAAAATTGAAGACAGAACTGAAAGCTAAACGTGAATCTGAAAATGCGATGAAAACAGAGCTGGATCAACTGAAAAGGGTCAGTGATATTGTCAGAATTATCATTTACAAACAATACTTTCTTGCTTCAGGATGATAAAAATCTCTATAGCATTGTAAATTTTATCGTTGTCTGACTGATATACTGTTCTTTCGTCGCCATCTTAGACCCTTTATGAATCGTGTAAATGAAGTTGAAAATGATTGTTAAACTTCAAAGGACTTGACGGGTAAAAGAAATTCAAAAAATGTACCTTTTTCTGTAAGAAAGATTCAAGCATCTTTTAATATTTCTCAGGATAATGGAAGAAAGGAGGCCAGTGTAAAGAAACTTGCGTTGGAACTCAAAGAACGTGAAGAGTTGGAAGATCAAGTGTCAAGTCTTAAGGCAGAGATTAGATCGGTAAGAGAGGGCTAATGTTTGTTACTTCTGGTCATTTCCTGTAAGGGAGCCAGCCATGCCCACTGCTGATTTTCTATCTGATTTTTGCAAGCAGTAAGGTATAATGCCTACTTCTGTGTCACACTTCTAGATGCAAGTACGATACCATTTTTCCACGATTTTTGCTATTCTGATCATGCTGATACAATCGTATATGAAAGATAGTCAATCTTTGAATCAAATATAATAGCGCAACCCACTTGTTGCTTAACTCAAGGTTGTCAATTGAAAGTCACAAGCGTGTTGAATCCTTGTTCAGCATGTGATTAGTAGGCAATCAACTTGAGTTCTTGTAATAGCAATCAGTTCAGTTGCTTTGCAAATGTTTCTGTTAACAAAATCTTGAAGTATCCTCTAGTTTTTGATGAGATTATTTGGTGTTCTTGGCAGCTTGAAAAATATAAAGTGGAGGCGGAGAAGTTGAGAAAGCGAATTCAGGTGTTGGAAGAGGAGCAGCAGCTTGAGGTGCAACAAGCTGATAACGCGCAGACTGGCGCTGAGTTGGATTATTTCCCCGAGAAAGAGAATGAGACTGCAAAGGACGAGCCGGGGAAAGAACAAAAGGTATTTGCCATTTAATGCTCATGGACAGCCAGCCCTTCCATCTTAGAGAGTAATTTTTATACTCTAAGATGTCTGGGTTATTATCAGCTGTGTTTCTCTCAATACAGATTGTCTGAGCTAATTTAAAGATAGCTTTTGATGGATATTTATCCTGTCTAAATGGTTTTCAGTTTAATTTTCAATTGCTGTTAAATCAAATTTTAGTTTATTGAAGCTAGAGAAGCCTAATGGAGAATGGCAAAATGAAATCCTTATTTTGTATTTACGACCAATGTTATAAGTAAACTTATAGTCATTCAAGTTAAGTATCTGATCTGTATTTATAGTCCCGAGAAGAAGTCATTAGGTGGGAGGAAAATAAGAAGTGGCAGAAGCGAATGGAGTCTTTGAAAAGCAAATTAAAAGAAAAAACGGAGGAACTTGAAAAAGCTGAGAAGAATATTCAAATGATGAAAGATATCATTTCAAGAAATGACAAGGAGAAGGCCTCTTTGCAAGCCAAAATTAAAAGGTATTGCCGAATAATTTTGTTGCTAAAAAGCAATTGGAGAAATAAGACAGAGAACTGGGAACTAGTAAAAGTTGATGACGTAGCTTTGCTCTACAAGATATGATACTGTATCATAAGGCTTGTGTTTTGCCCATCTTCTTGAGCAATAGTTTCGTTATTGTATCAGAATGTGTGCTTATGCAGTAGTCTTCATTCTTTACACTGCAACTTTTCGATTTTCATTTTGAAATGAGGATTTCCATTCAGCTGCTGTATTTCATGATAATTAAATTTGATCATTTGTTAACCCTACTCACTCTGTCGATCCCTAGCTCTTCTCGATCAGCTGAAGACGTGCAATTTTCAGCCACTGGCACAAGCAAAGAAGAAGTAGTACAGAGGTTAAAAGGAAGAATATTCCAGCTGGAAGAGGAGGTAAAATTTCAGTTACTTTTAACGGGTTTGTCATAGAATTCTTGATGACATATAGACAGATCTTTGGTGGTTAGAACAAGACGGTTTTAGTATGTACTCCGACGAGTTTAACGGTTAATCGGGTTTCATATCAGGCAACTGTGGCATCAATGTAAATCGAAATTTTTTAATAAGATCACCCTACCATCCTTTAACTACGAAATATTGTTGCATGATCTCTGACTGGAGTGGTTTTTTACCTATCTTTGATGTAAAATTTTGATCACAGTTACTTGATGTTCATTACGAAATTAACCGCTACTATTAGGCGGTTGTCCATTTGATAGTGGAAATTTACTTTTGGATTGCTGCTCATTAAACTGTAATCTATTTGCATGCGATGTCGATTGATAAATTAGTTCTGCTTTTTCGAGATATTACAGTTTCTACTATAAAAAAGATTGGTCACAACTCTATCCCCTTTCATTTTCTTGACTCTGTTGTATCTCTCTTCCATTCACCAAAAGGTGATTTTAGTGGTCACCAATAGACCAGTTACATAATTTTTTAAATTCTGTTAAACGTTCGAAGATTTATCATCAAATTCTAAATGATCGATAGCAATATGATCTGTGAAAATTTTAAAAGCTTATCTGTCACGTTAATCTTTTAATTCGACAGAACAACGATTTGCAAAGGCGACTTGCTTTGGATAGGGACAACGAGTTACATGTGAGTTGCTTTTATTTATATTGACCAACAACAATAAAATGAATTTAGTGCTGTGTTTGAAAAAATTGAGAAATTTGTTTCGTTATGTAAGAGAAGGCAACAAGTCACTTAAAGAGGTTCCAAGCCGTAAGACATAAAGATAACACTTTTCAGTTGCTTTATTGTCATATCTAGTTGCCCTAAGTTTCGATCATCCATTTTCAGGAATTGCGAATTCGAAATAGTCAATTAGTGGAAAACGTGAGGGCGTTGGAGATCGAGCTGACCGACAAGCAGGTAGGAAATAAGCATTTTATTTAGGACAATCTTTGCTACATCGCACAACCCAGATTTAATGTATCAGCTATTGTGGCTTATTCTAGTCTTGTTCAAATCCACTTTTGTACATTCATACTTTCATAGTAAACGGTTTTTGGCTGTGTGCTAGCTGTCTTCAACGTGTTTGAAATCGAACAGAGCAATGTACTTCACAAGCGAGTTGCTTTAATACTTTTTAAAATCCATTTAGAATTACACCATTTAGAATTACAACATTACAGCCATTGCAGTCATTTACCTATTACAATCATTAACTAGATTTCTTAATTTTAACTTCATTATGTCAATTTTGTCGCAGTGTTGTTTTTGTGGTGACAAAATTCACGTATCAAATGTACTCTCTCCCTTTTAAAATGATGAAAATTGATCAAAAGTTTGTTATGAACAATCAGAAAATGATCGAAATAATGAATAAATGATATGGAAGATGCGATCGAAAAAGTCAAATCATTGAATTGAATAATCAGTTAATAACACCAAAAACAAAGGAAGGGAGAAATCCGAGAATTGTGAAAGTTATTGGTAAGGTAATTGATCAAAGGCAACTTTACCTCCGTGATTATTTACTGACATATTTATGGAGTGAATCGCACCCCTTCGCTTCTCTTTCTCCTTTGTGTTTTCAGGGAGAGTTCCAAGTTTCAAGGGAAACTCCGAAGGGTAACTGTTGGTTTTGCTTTGATCCTATTCATTTGGGTTTTTGTTTCAGGCGGGAGATGATCCTGATCAGTATGATTGGTCTTTGGCCCGAGAACAGAATCTCCAAAAGGAAATTTTAAGCGTGCGAAAGGTCAGTAAACTTCCGTTCTAACTGTTAACCAAGGCTAACTGTTATTTTTGTTCTTATACTTTTCAAAATCAATTCATTACCCCGTGTTCGCTTTCGGCTAGATAGCAAATTTTCATTTATTGTTCTATTAAAGAATTGTTTTGATCTATTGAATCTTCTGCAGGAAAACATGGAACTGAAATTTGAAAACGACCGTGCCCGAACAAACATTCCTCGTCTAAAGGTGAGCCAGTTCAGCCTCTCTTTGATGACAAGTTCACCCTCATTTAATACTTTCTGTGTGTCTTTTCTTTAGTATCAAGTGGAGATTATGGGTTTGTTTTGGTTTGTTATTCATAGGCCAGAGTAAAGGATTTAGAGGAATACTGTGAAATTCTGAAATCAGAACTAGAAACTGTGAAGAAAAGAGAAAAAGAAAGAAGGGTAATTTAGATTTTCATTTTAACTCTTCACATCTCAGCTATAAGCTTTTCATCAAAAGACTTTCATCACGCTTGTCTCCAGATTATGTGCCAAGTCAGAAATCGTTTCAACAGTTTTTAAGGAAAATTCCAAAATTGTCCATGTGACCGAACGTAAGCAATTTAAATGTTTTGTGTAAGCAGAGCTGTATGTAAAGCTCTTGTTATCAGTCCTTTGTTCTTTTTGACTAATTTCTAATTTTACAAACAAAGGGAGCGATGGGCACAGGGATGGGAGGCCAGTCAGTTGAAGACATGGAGAGAGTAATCGCCGCTATGAGGAGGGTCATAGAAAGACTGCAGGGTGAAAATGATAGCTTGAAGAAACTGAAGTCGAAGGCGCCACCGCATTCTGATGTTGCAAGGGAAAATCGACAACTTAAAGTGAGTTTTAACAGTTCTTTATGAGTTTATCTTGTATATGCTATCGCTAAGATTTAAAACCAGAGGTTTTATGTTTAACAACGAAGCTTTGTTTTTGCATTCCTCCATTTTGGAAATTCTGGAGATAGTAAAGCTTTGTTTCTCTGTTGCTTTAAACATGATTTTCGTAGCAATGTCTTAAATAGTTTTTTCCAATGTTTTCTCAAACTTTTTATTGTAAGAAAATAATTCAAGTTTAGTTAAAGTGTTAAGTTCTAGAAGGGCGCACGAAATGGCACATTCGCGTACACAGGGGGGGGGGGACAAATCGTATGACCCTGTCCAGCGAGAAATGTAAGGGGACATAAATAGCAAATATTTGGTGTACGCACGTTATTGTTGTTCCCCCTTTTGTTTTTATTCTGACGCATATATTTTTGTTGCCAATCATCTGTTTTTTTACAGCAAGAGATTCAAAAACTCAGATCCAAAGACGGGGGCTCGTTATCAGCCCGTGGTGCAGCGGCAACCAAACTTGTTCAGGAGAACGAAAAAGTTCGTCGAGACCTCAAGAAGGTATTTTGCACTTGCTAATTTTTATGATTCTTTATGTTAATGTTCCCATGTACCTGTGGATTGAATGAATACTCGATGTTTATTGATGTCTGGTCTGAATTCATATTTTATCTCGTGACTATATCAATTTTTAGTGCAATGAAGAAATTGAAAAGCTGCGAAACAGCAATTCAAGCCTTGCAATTGAAAAGGAAAAGTTGTCAAAGGATCTCGAAAAGGTTGAGTTTTAATAAAGCAGTTTTTAAGCCAAAGCCATTCCTTAGTTTTTTAAGTATTCAAAAGTTTTTCAAGTCTTCATTCCTTAGCTTATGAAGTTCCTAAAGCCCGGTCACCCTTTTTCAAAAAAGGTGAATTCAATTTGATAAATATTGTCGCCTTGACTTAATTTGCAGGTCACACAGCGGCTAGTAGCTGCGGAGGCGCGTGCACCAAAATTGGAAGAAGCAGACAGTGCGCAATGGACAGCAGCAGTGATGACAAAAATGAGCGAAGAGAGGGTCGGGAAAATTGAGGCGGAACTCGAGAAGAAGGTTTTGTTTTTCAATTATTGTAGCTGCCATGAGTGTATTTCAATCAGTGTTGCTTATTGCATGTTTTTGTTAACAAACTCTATTTTTGTATGACCCGAGTTGCTCTTTATTTACTAGAATAAGCTCTTGGATGATTTGAAGAACCATTTGCGATCTGCAGCTGAAAGGGAAGCCGAGCTACTGCGAAAAGAAGATGAATACAAAGAAAAAGTAATCCTTTGTTTCTTCTTGCTGATGTCTTGTATTCTCAGATAATCTCAGATAATCTCAGATAATCTTAAAGAAGACAGACTTATTCCAAGAAATTTTTATAACCACATAGCACGCTATTCATTGGTATAACCCAAACTTGTATCTGCTTGTGCCTTATTTATCGTTTGCAAATTCTCATCAAAAGAGGCAGCATAAGACATTAGCTGCAGTTAAACTTTCTTTGTTAGTAATCGTTGAAATCCTACCTTTCGGGTACCTCACGTGCTTTTTCCTTTTTCAATCAATCAGGAAATCGAAGATTTGACAGAGAAGGTTTTTAAGGAGGAGGGGGGGGGTTAGAGTTTAGGTAGTTTAGAGAAGCTTAGAGCAGTTTACCCGTAGTATCATTACAATGACTCGTAACAGTCGAAATTCAAAAGCTAATTTTTTCTAGGTTCAAAATTGGCTCATCTAAGCATATTATTTGCACCCTCCCTTTTAGACACTCTATGCTTTGGCCTTTTGAATGGATTTTTGAATAGCTTTTTGAATGGCTTTTTGAATGGCTTTTTGAATGGCTTTTTGAATGGCTTTTTGAATGGCTTTTTGAATGGCTTTTTGACAATTATCTTTGGATTTTGTTCTTCTTGATTCACCTTGCCTCGTTTGATTCTGATTTAGGTTTTGTGTTTCCTCTTTGTGTTCTTAGAACACGTCGTGTATTTCCTCCAGTAAAGAGCAACAACCCTCTTTCGTTTTAGATTTCGCTGCTAGAGCGATTTCCTGCAGACATCAAAGCTGACAGTGATGTAGTTCAGCATTTACAAAAAGCAAGGTTCTTGCTCTTTGCATTTTTCTTTCCCTTCTTTCTTATTGTCTGCTCAATAGAACATCATCTTCCTTTTACAGAAGACACTAGACAGAGGACCAATTGTTCATGCTTTTGTTTTGGAAAGGTTTTATGCCTTCCTTTTCAACTTAAGGTAGTCTGACATGGCTACTCAACATTTCAGATGCACTTGCAATTGAATTGCATTCAGTATTACCCTTGTGTTATCTATTTTCTGGCATTTCTCAGAGGCAACGCGATGAAAATAGACACCCTTTACAGACATCAAATGCTTTTTCATGTAGGCTGCGCATACAGACTTTAGAGGCCGAGAAAAATGAACTCCTAGACGATGTGTCCAGAATGAGAGAACTTACGAGTGATGGAACGCAGCCACTCAAAATGGTCTGTATTCAGCTTTTCATAAAATTGTTGAAATTTAGTTTGTTTATGTTTGCTAGAGTTATTTTTTATGCTGTTCCTGGGCAATTAATATTCAATACATCACTGTGTACGCCGGAAAAGGCCTGTTGATAATGATATATAATATAATGAGGTGATGACTTTACAGTTGGAAATAGTTTATTTCGTGTATTTATCATTAAGCTAATGTAAGGAAACTATTTACAATGAATGTGATTATTTAAAATGTAGTTATTTGTAAAAAGCTTATGTACAATATATGTTTTGCACAATCTACAGCTGCACTCGAAGTTTTCTAAAGGTTGTATGTTTTGTTTTAAGATATTTAGCGATTGATTGATTGGGACTCTTTAATTTAAGTACTGATTAACAAGGAGCATTTTCATAAAAATTTTGTCAACTATTCAACGCTATTTGATGTTGAAGATAATTGTTGTGTTGGTTTTCAGGATGAAGATGAAATACTGAACAAGCTGAAAAAGTATGATCGTTTGTTGGCAATAGAAGTTGAATTAAGGTAACCCAAATAATACTTCCTGTCTACAATTGCTTGGTGATAAATTTGCTGAAATTTCTTCAGAAAAAGGAACAGAAGTATTCACACTTTCTGTACAGTTTTCCAAGCAGCCAGTCAACTGTTTGCTCATGATGCGCGTAGATGTACAAAAGGTCCATCTTGGATGGAGCTCCACAAATATTTTTACAATTATTAAAGTCAATTTTCTACACAAACGTACCTCTTACAAGCTGCTTTATTTGGCCTAGCTCTAGCCAGACAGTTTTTGTCTCAACATATGCAAGAAATGTTTGCTTCTAAAATGCTAAATGTTTATGTGGTTCTTACAGGACTCAGCTGAGAGTGGCTATTGTCGAGAATGAAGGCCTTGTTGCAGAAAATGTGAAGGTTTGTTGTTTTGTGCTTTGTCGATTTAATCAGCTATCAACACAAAAAATGTTACTGATGTTCAGATTTTATATGTTGAAGGAATACAGCATCTAATATAAATAAACTATAATCCTTGCCCAAAGTGCTGAGAACACCCAGTTGCTTAAGTGTTCTTTTGAAAACAATCAGCTGCTGTTTTCTGTAAAAATAACCGACATCTCACTCTTCTCCCTCAAAACATTGTTGTTGGTAGAGTTAAATGTCATAGTTATCTGAAATGAATCGATTGGACCACAACGAATCTGTCAAAGTTGCATAATACAGTATTTTTCAATAGTGATGCAATATAAAATGTTCAAAAATGTTGTGTAGTATACCAAGAATTTTAGAAGGCGCTGTAGTTTGCTGGCATATCAATGGAACATTTTCAATAGAGTTCTATCTAATTTTGTGTAATCAGTGGTATTTTCAGAAGGTAGGTGGTTCTAAAATTTCCAGCTTGTATCCTATGCATCTTAACTTTAACTAATTTTTGCCAAACCCACCATATCTATGTATTTTCGTTTTATAGCTAAAACGTGAGTTAGAAGCTTTTGATCCGGCGTTCTTCGAGGAGATAGAAGACTTGAAATACAATTACAAGAAATCTGTGGAGAGAAATGTACTATATGAAAGACAACTGAAACAACTGTCGCGCCAGTTCGGCGTGGATGTAAATATTCCTGACAATGATGACTACTAAGAACGTGTTAGAATGTTATTATGGTTGTATATTTATTGTTTATCATATTTATTAAATATCAGGATTTTGTACTGTCGTTTTTCATTGATACGGTCCTTTCTCCCTGGTCAGGAATTTGGTCTTTTTCATGGACATGTTTTAGTCCAACTTACGTCCAGCTCTCAAAACTATGAGAAAATGGGACTTTAGCAAAAATGGAAAAAAGAAAGTTCATGAAACCAATTCTGATCTTGTCAAGAGAAACCGTTACAAAAAATTGATTACGCAAGTGTCATCAATTCTGTATTAGTTCTAATAAGTTATCTTGACGCATTTTTTTGAGTAATCTTCGCTTTATATTTCAGGCTGTGTTTTCTTGTGTTTTCTTACTTTAAGTCTGAACAACCACATCCCTGGATAAACCTTCTTCGGGATTTCTTACTCTATCATTCTCATTATCGTTAAAAGCATTAGCTGTTGCATTTTGAGGTGTCACATTCTATCCAGAAAGACAAAAGATTTTTCTTTCTTCTATGACGAGAATTTCAGACAGTATTTTCGCATAGCTTTCCCATTCTCCCCAACTATTTTCCTCCTCATTTACTGTATTAGATTTTCGTTCAATAAAAATTAATTTTAAAACACTATGTACAGTTCATTAATTGTATCTTAACACTCCATTTCTTGGTAAGGGAGATTTTATGATTCTCATTTAAATATAGATGTTTGCAATTTTCCTCTTTTGAAGGATACCAAATTCCCTCTAGCGGGTCGACAATGGAGTTCTTGCTAGCAGTGTTCCTTTGTAAGTTCTTTTGACGATAACTGCCGTGATATTTCTTTTCTGTTTATCAATTTTCGCTCGTATTTGTTAAACTTTGTTCACTTGAAAATAGCGTGCGACAGGGTACCAAGAGATCTAATCTAATTGTGCTTAAAAAGGACTGTACTCTACCAAAGAACATACAAAGAAGAAACCAAAAAAAGATACAAAGAGTAAACCCAAAGAAGATACAAAGAAGAGACCCAAAGAAGATACAAAGAAGAGACCCAAAGAAGATACAAAGAAAAACCCAAAGAAGATACAAAGAAGAAACCCAAAGAAGATACAAAGAAGAAACTTAAAGAAGATACAAAGAGTAAGCCCAAAGAAGATACAAAGAAGAAACCCAAAGAAGATACAAAGGAGAAACAAGGAAGAAACTTAATGAAGATACTAAGAAGAAACTTAAAGAGGATACAAAGAAGAAACCCAAAGAAGATACAAAGAATAAACCCAAAAAAGATAAAAAGAAAAACCCAAAGAAGATACAAAGAAGATTACCCAAAGAAGATTTAAAGAAGAATCGTTTACTATCAAACGGATTAGGATTTTAGGAAACATGAAAGGAATGAAAGATATCAAATGCAGCGTAAATTGATGGGTGTTCCAAGTACTAATGGCAGGCATTGAAGAGATCTAATCTAATTGTGCCTAAAAAGGACTGTACTGTACCAAAGAACATGCAAAGAAGAAACCCAAAAAAGATGTAAAGAGTAAACCCAAAGAAGATACAAAGAAGAGACCCATAGAAGATACAAAGAAGAAACCCAAAGAAGATACAAAGAAAAACCCAAAGAAGATACAAAGAAGAATACCCAAAGAAGATACAAAGAAGAAACTTAAAGAAGATACAAAGAAGAAACTTGAAGAAGATACAAAGACAAAACCCAAAGAAGATACAAAGAAGACACCCAAAGAAGATACAAAAAAAAACCCAAAGAAGATACAAAGAAGAATACCCAAAGAAGATACAAAGAAGAAACTTAAAGAAGATACAAAGAAGAAACTTAAAGAAGATACAAAGAAGCAACCCAAAGAAGAACGGGGAGTACATGCTATGTACCGTGAGTCCTAGACCTAATATGGTGAAAGAAGTGATTCTAATAGAGCTGGGCTTTGCCAAGGCTTGACACTCGGCGCTTTGTTATTTATAATATTGTCAGACATTTTAAGTGCATTTTCAAAGGTTTACCGTGGGAAATACCTAGAGATTCAGAAACGGCTGGAGAGCTTCAAGAGAGGTAACTTATCAGGTAGAAGGAATTCGAAAGAAAGGTTCAAAAGTAAATGGATAACAGAAAAATGTAGGGTATATAACAACTAGTCTAATTTGTAGAATTGACATAAAGATACAGGTCAGGAATTGTGACCATTTCAAGCAAAAAGGAGAATTTCAATATATTGGTCTTTTAGCAAACAGGAAGATGGGTGCGAGACACAGGAGATAAGATAGACAGGGAACAATGGCAATAACACGTTTGAAAACCGACCATGCAGCTCATTGTGAGCAGTGTTCTGAAGGCAAAATATATAATATTAATTATGCAATTCAGAATATTTTACAGGATAACGTTTTCTTTCATTTTAGTTGTTATTATGTTGAAGATTTATATGATAAAGTAAAGTTGTTGGCCATTCTAATATATAATTTGCCACGATCACTCTTGCTTTTTTTCAAATGTTTCCTCCAACAATATTATTACTGTTTGGACTTAATATTAAGTCAATAAAGGATTTTTTTCACTATTATTCAATACTCAGTAATATGAGCCTAACATTCACTGAAATTAACCGAAATAGTGTTTGGAACGTAAATTAAGGCTTTCTAGGTTGTTTCAGGTAAAAAAAATGTATGATCTTTTCATCGTCAATAAAAGCGCCTCGTGGCTGTTCAAAAATTTCTTGCTTGCTCATTTTAGGCCTATTTTGATTCGCAATTTTTTCGACACCATCCACATTGCTGACCTGTTCTGGATGTTCCAGATAATGGTAAATAAGTCCAGACAAGAAAACATGTGCACGCACTGACGTATTAGTGCAAATTGGTACAACTGCAATAAGATAACTAGTTGAAGAAGCTTGTAACGCTGGGTAAGAACCTAGATTCCAAAAACCATGTAAGTGCATTTTGTAAAAAAGCTGAACAAAAGCTGTATGCGCTTGCACATGCACGTATTTCAAACTATATGAATGTTGAGAAACTGAGGGTTATGATGAACGCCTTCGTTGTTTCACAGTTTACCTACTGTCCACTTGTTTGGATGTTTCATGATAGGTCGGTTAAAAAGAAAATAATCAAAATTCACGGAAGAACTTTGAGAATCGCATACAAGAAAAGTTGTTCAAATTTTGGAAAAATATTAAAAGAAAGCAGAAACAGTGTCCATTCACCACAAAAATTTACAGTTGCTAATTAGTTAGATGAGAAGCGAACCTAGAATAAAGCAATTATTATTATATTATTATTATTATGCACTCCAATCAGAAGAAATTTTATACGGAACAGCAGCATTTTTAGATTGAAAAAAACTCTACCACTCCTAACATGCACTACATCCTGTTTGCGATAGAAGAAAGTTGCGCATGGCCAAGTACCGAAACAAAGGCCCTCTACAGCTTTGATTTGTTTGTTTATTGATCTGGTGTCCATTTTACTATCAACGTTTATCACCGATGTGTTCGTTTTGAAACATTTATGTGGCTGTTGAATCGTTAGAGGAATGAAAAATGAACTCATTAAACTTAATAAAATCTACAAAATGCAATCGTCGTGAGCAAAACTGATTATTTGTATAATATGAACTCTTCTCTTTTATCCGAAAGTGATTATTGAAATCGGGATAGCTGAATATTTGGTATTTCAAAATTGATAGACGTTGTTGTTCACCATCGTTTACTTCTTGTTTGGTGGGCCACAATTCATAAGACTTCCTATATGTATTAATCTTTATTGAAGGCTTTTCAATAAGAATCTTTTCCCTACAAAACATCCAAGTTGTGAAGCATTTTGCAATCAGGAGATAGCACAGCTGATGCCCTTTTGTCTCGTTTTCTAGTCTCATTTTCAAATGTTAACGAATGGTTAGTACTAGAACAATCTCAGCATTCAAAATGTAGAAAAGTGATAATTATCCACTAACAGAAAGCAAATAGCAAGAGAAAGCGGACACATTATACTCATAGACTTTATTGTCATTCATGCAACACAGAACAGAGTATAACCATGGCATAGTGGTCAAAAGAAGGCAGAACCTAAACGCATGCATTCAACTCGAAGGAAATAATGACGAAGCATGCCAAGTGTAGAGTCATCTACATAAAGCATTTCACTCCAATCGCCTTTTACTTCCTGAATAGATCATAAGAAATATCAGTTTCTTTTACAGGAATAGAACAATCCGATTTCATGCTACTTTCCATTTTGTAGCGGATTCTTTGTGAATGTATCTCCAAGGTCTATGCCTACGCTGCAAGCTATGTGGTACTTCTCCTAGCACACTGACTTCCAATTTAACAACTCCCAAATTTACGAACTCCTATGATAAGTAGTATTTTTCATGTCTTGTTGTGGCTTCGCGTTTTATTTACAGCCAGGTTTTTTATTGTCAGCAAGAAGGAAAAGACGACGGCATAATAGCCTTGGCCATCTTGGTTTACCTCGATTCCTTGGTGCAATCGTATACCAAGGATTAGTAAACATCTTGCTTTTGGTGTTCCTTCTTAACCATGAGCTTGTTTTGTTCTTCAAAGGTACTAAAAACACGCAAACAAGCAATATCAAGGTCACACTCATCTTGATGGCACGAATAAGGAGTTATTTGACTCTTACAGCGCAGCGCAAAAACTGTAAGATATGGAATACGAAAAGGCCAAGCAAAAGACAATTAGACGTTGGTAATGGGAACTCAGTCAAATCTTATCTACTTGGTGGCATCATGCGAAGCACCGAAGGACCTGTGGGATACTCTCAAAGCCTATTTCGAGAGGGGTACGATATCAAACGAGCTGTTTCCCAAGAGACAATATTTTACTTCAGAAATGCTTGAAGGGCAATCAGTTCAAGATCATTTGAAACGTATGAAGGAAATTGCTGATAAACACCATGCACTCGGGTCTACAGTAGCTGAAGAAGAGCATGTCGTGGCATTGCTCATAAGCCTTCCAACAAGCTATACAACACTCATTACAGCTCTGGAAGCCAAAGGAGATGAATTATCACTGGCCTTCGTCCAGCAAGCCCTTATCAATGAAGAGCAAAAAAAACAGGCCTTCAAAGCAACCGCAACGACTAAAATTAATCGAGACTCAGCATTACATTTGGAAAAGGGCATGAGCAGGCCTTTCAAAGGCAAATGTTACAACTGTGGGAAGGAGGGTCATAAAAGCTTTGAATGTCAGAAAAGGAAGCAAGTGGGGCCCAGGAATTCATTTAAATGAAACACATAATGCAAAGACTGCAGGAAAGGAGGAAGATGATGATTCAGACTCTCAACTCTTTCTCGCTGAAAATAAACAAACAGAAAATGAGACAAATCTAAAATGGATTCAGGATTTGAGTGCCTCGCAGCATATGACCTCAAACAAACTGCTTTTGATTAACTACAGAGAGTTCAACCTGCCTGAATTAGTCAAACTGGTTGACGGACATACAGTGGAAGCCCGTGAATCAGGACGAGCTCAAATAACCATGGAAACAAGCCACAACAAGCAGCTGACAATTGAAATGGATAATGTACTCTATGTTCCGAAACTAGCTTGCGACCTGTTCAGTGTGCGAGCTGTGACACAGAAGGGACTTATTGTTCAGTTCGGACATACTTGTTGCTGGATAAAAGACTCGGACGGTAAGGCTGTAGACAAAGGACGACTCGTTAAGCGAAGGTACTTTCTGATCTGCGAAACAGATATAACAGCAGCTTATCACCGATTTGAAACGATGAAAAATAGCAACCCTAGCACGATGGATATTTGGCATCAACGGCTAGGACATATAAATAGAAAACTGCTATTGGAATCAGTCAAGAAGAAGCTCATCAAAGGAGTTGCCATCCAAGGAAATGCCGAACTGAACTTTTTTACAGGGTGTGCGGAAAGTAAGATCAGCAGAAAACCTTCAAGTCAACAGAGGGGATCAAGACTTCTAGAAAATTACAGATAGTTCACAGTGACGTATGTGAACCAGTGTCAATAGAGAGCTTTTCAGGAAAGCGTTATTTTGTCACATTCATTGATGAATACTCGAGATGTGTCAAAGTCTACTTCATTAGAAAGAAGTCTGAGGTACTAAAGAGGTTTAAAGAATTTGAAGCTTCTGTAGCCAATGAAGCTGGATGTAAAATTGGAACCTTTCGTACAGATAATGGCGGAAAGTATGTATAAAATGAATTTGAAAATCTTCTGAAAAGAAAAGATATCAAACACAAAACTTCTGTTTCTCACTCTCCACAACAGAATGGAGTGGCTGAGCGCATGAACCGGACTCTCGTTAAATCCGCTAAAGCGATGATGAGCCATGCCGGACTCAGCAAGACAATCTGGACAGAAGCAGTCAACACTGCAGCCTACATAAGGAATCGTGTTTTAACCAGTGCATCAGGTCAAACACCGTATGAAAGATGGTATGGAAAACCCCCTGATGTCTCCCACTTTTCTAACGTCTTCTTATAATCTTCTTCCTCCAAATTTTACTTTTTTGGCTTAAGTGTCCATTGGCTGATAACTTGACAGATTATCAGTTTTAGTATTACTCAAAATTATCAATTTATCCCATTGACAAGACATATTCATTATTCAGTTGTAATTAGGAATAGAGGAGGTGAGAAAATAGTTTTTCTCGTCAAGGGAGTGTACTTTGACTTAATATTGATATACATAACCTCTGAGAAACTTAATAATATCTTAATAAAGAATTTCAACCAATTCTTATCTCGATAATTATCTCAGGTGTAAATGGTTAGTTTTTCAACGGTACGGTGCACGCGATATCAAAGAAGCATCATTGTGAATTGCAAAGTACCTTGATACGCCCTAGAGTCACTAGTAAAAGAAGAAAGGGATAAAATAGTGGAGAATGAAATAGCTGGAATAGTTGTATGTTTCGCAGTGAACTAGTCGCTAGACTCTCAAATCACAAAAAATTCTTGGAAAGGAAATATGTAGTTATGTTTATCTGTTCTAAAACCTACATTTTCTTTTGCAGAATGCTTTCATTTTACGAAAATTCCTCATTACTAAGAGTGAATTCTTCTGACATCGATATCGTCTGAAATCAAGTAGCAAATTATACGGTATGTTCTTTAAGCAATTTAATACTCTAAAAATCACACCTGGAGCATGAATACGAAGATCTAAAGATGAATGATAAGAAAGAAGGCAACATTTCAATTTTAAATCATTTTTCATAATTCATCAAATTGAAAATTATTTTCCAATGCATTGAAATTACCTTTAAGAGAAAAGGAAAGACTTGCTATAACATATCAAAGGATCACAAGTACAGTCTTTACCCGGGAATGCCTCCAGCTCCTGGGCCAGTCATCACTGTAAATAATTTGGACGAACTAGCACAAAATCCATCGAGTTTGGCGTCTGGCCTCATTGCGCTGATGCCAACTTTTTCAGTATCTCTACCAGTCGATTCATTCGGTTCTCTAGCAAGAACAAAGAATTTGACATTGTGACCAAGTATTTTGATGTTTTGAATAATTGAGTTCAGTGAACTAGAACCTGTGGCATCCTCTGGACACAATTTGTCACGTTGCTTTTCAGTATCAGATTGCAGTTTGGAGTCTTCTCCTACATCCTCTGTGTTTGCCCATGCAAGTGCAACACGAAACCATTTATGTGTTACCATGACAGCGTTATCTCCAGCTACTCCCATTTCACCGTAGCTGCTTGCCATAACAATTATATACACCTCAACACCATGTAGACTGCCAATTTCACTCTCTTCAATCATTTTTAAAACATCTTTAGCTTTCATGTGTCTTTCAATAGCCTCCATAGTGTCCCTCAGTTTTGTTTCCATGTATGTCTTTGTTATCTTGGTGACACATTGGAATTCTCTCGCACTTTTTTGAATACAATCTTGATATGCAGGATTGCAATTGTCATTGTAGCCACATTTCCTCACATCACCAGGCTTACAATGAGCTATTCCCAGCTCCCCTTTCACATCTTCACAGTAACTCTCATACATTGGAGTCATCCATTGTTTCATGCCACTATAGTCGAGATTTTTGAGTTGTTCATCGTGTTTCATGAAGTCGTCATGAAACAATTCTATAATTGGGACCAGGTTCATTCGGATCGGCACAGGGTAATCAAACTCTTGATTAGCCCATTCAGTTAAGCTTTTTTCTGGCCTACTTCCATATGACACAATGTATTCTCTTTCGATGTCATTAAAGATCGTTGTTTTGTCTGCATTATCCAATTTACTGCAATTATTTTTTCCTTCCTCCTTGACATAAAAGTAACTAAGACGACCTTTACTGCAGTTTTCAATAGTTTCTGCGGCAGCATTTTGAAACGTTGCACGTGAATAGCGCCTTAGAATGGATAGTCTAGCTCCAATCGTTGCCTGTTGCAAAAAGTGTGTCCCAAAATCTTGAATGAATCTGTGAAATTCCTTCTTCCGATCCCTTTCCGTCGCCTCAGACAGGGTCTTGACTGCATTTTGAAATGTACTTTTGAAAGGCGGAGGGAATCTCCTTGAAATCCGCATGGAATATAGGGCACATGTTGCAGCACTTACTGTAAGTACACCTTGCCTTCTGACAAAAAACTCTTCATTCTTTCTTTGATCAAGGTTGGCCGTTCCATATGCCTCAAACAGTGGAGGTAGCTCAGTGCTTACCCCAACTCCCTTTCCTTCGAAGCTGACCTCAACTGGGGGATTCGTTTTCCATCCTTCATGCATACCTTCTATCTTCCTGTTCATCTTTTGAAATGCCTTCACTGTGCTGATAGACTTTGTCGTCAAGGTCAGATCACATTTGGAAATTGCTCTGACTGTTACACCGTCATGAAGTGTGTACCTATCATCATTATCTTTTACAACAGGAACAAATATGTATCCATTATCGAAGCCAGGATCTTGCTCTGTTCCAAAGTTGTATGCATTTCCCTTCAATATGTTGTATCCTGTCATGGCAGAAACGATATTGGGATATGGTTCCCATCCTGGATCGCAGAAATTAGCATTGCATGATTTGACATTGACATTTGTTGTTGATCCCCTTCGCCCCCGCCCTTCTCTCTTGCTGCCTGAATGAGTGTCATCTTCTTCAGTCAGATCTTTGGAATCTGCCAGGTGTATTTTGAGAGGATTTTCAATCATCTTCGGTGTTGATATTTTTGCTTTTGCCATATATTTCTTCGATTGTCTGGCATCAACTGCTTGACCGAAACATATTAGGACAGCAATAGCTGCAATGGTAACAAGCTTCATCGTGCCTGGAAGAATGTCAGTTAAAGAGAGTCATAAAACAAGAAACACGTGCGAAAACCATGCATTTAATCATCTTTAATCGAATAAAGTAAAAAGCCGCATAAAAAAACTCATGCTCTCGGTGTTCACGCTGATGTTGCTCTTATTTTTTACTTATTTTCTGAAAGATTGACCTGAGAATATTCTTGAGTCAAAACCTCACATGCGGTATAAAATGAAAGAAGTAATGCGTAGTTTTCCTTTTAATAAGTTAACCGAGTTAATTCTTTACTAAGTTAACCGAGAGTAGCAATTATCATTTAATTTTGTTACATTTTTAGGGCTTAGAAGTAACTGACTTTCTTAGGGTCTAATATGATCTCTCTTTGAGGCGATTGGAATTAAGCAGTTTAGCTTACCTTTTCTTTGGCACTCTTGTTCTTCCAATAGATATAGAATCTATTTTACCTTCCCTTTATATAGATACTCAGGTTTATACTGTGTCAAGTTTACAAATGACTTGGATCAATGTGATTGGATCAATAGAGGGGTAAAATGTGCTCATTTGGAAGATCAATGATTCTTTCATAACAACCTGTTATAATGAGGCATTCTTTTAGAGCAAATCCACTAAAAGTAGTAAATATGTTATGGCTAATGCCAGTCGTTGATCCTTTGATGTGATCAAATGAACTGTGTTATTCAATGATCAATGAATTTTCTCATAAGTCCCCAAATTTGTGAAACTTTTTGCCTTGATAGCAAACGTTTTATTTGCAAACTTCTTCTCAAAATCTTCTTCCTCCAAATTTTACTTTTTTGGCTTAAGTGTCTTTTGGCTGATAACTTGACAGATTATCAATTTTTAGTATTACTCAAAATTATCAATTGATCCCATTGACAAGACCCATTCATTATTCAGTTGTAATTAGGAATAGAGGAAGGGGCTGAGAAAATAATTTGTGCCGTTAAGGGAGTGTACTTGTGAATAGCAAAGAACCTTAATACGCCCTAAAGTCACCAGTTAAAGAAGAAAGGGATAAAATAGTGGAGAATGAAATAGCTTGAATAGTTATAAGAAGATAGGGGTGACAAATAGAATAATTTCAAAATATAATTATATATTCAGTGAGCATATATCTCTTTTCCGATTATGAATTTGTACACTTTACATGAAAATTGTCAGCTCAACCGAGGTCTTTTACTGAAGTACAGTACTGTCTCTTTGATGGCCCTTAATATTCTATACTTATCTTTTGCCTGTTATTAATTTTGTTATATATGCAGTCTCATTCTTATGAATTAATGCGATGAATGGATCCTGCAAACCGCTCTGAGAAGTGTACTTGCATGTTTTGCAAAGGTTTTCAAATTTTTTGATAATTCAGCCCCACCCTACATGCCAGAGATGTTCTTATCAGTTGGCCAGAACAGAATCACTCGAAGATCTAAAACGAACTGAATCAACCTTTCCGAAAGAAAAACATTGGGCAAAATTGCCTCTCATATCTTGGTCCCAAAATTTGGAACAATCTACCGTCAAAACTAAAATCTGCAAAGAACGTCAATAGTTTCAAACACAAGATCATTTCTTTGATGATCTACAAAGTCAGGAGGATAGCCCCTTCATAATTTATTGAAAACCCAAATTCAGCCAACGGAAAGGTTCTAGTTAACACTATTCCAGAATTACTTTTTCCTAGTTCTTTTTCCTAGTTTTGGATACAAATCAATTTTTCATGTCCACATTTCTTTTTTATAACACCTCTGGAGGGACCATTACGAAAACAAGATCTTATTGACCTTTTTAATGTTATCCCTGCCATTTTTAACCTTGGTTGTTTTTAGTCTATGTTTTTAACTTCTATCTGTAAATTTTATACATCTGTAATTAGGTCTTTTTTTTCATAATTTTAAATTGTAATTTATTTGATGGCAAAATTATACATACATACATACATTTGTTAATCTTGGGAATATAGTGTTATTTTATCAAATTCCTTGAAATGAGGATTTCCATTCAGCTGCTGTATTTCAGGATAATTATATTTGATCATTTGTTAATCCTACTCACTCTGTCGATTTCTAGCTCTTCTCGATCAGCTGAAGACGTGCAATTTTCAGCCACTGGCACAAGGAAAGAAGAAGTAGTACAGAGGTTAAAAGGAAGAACATTCCAGCTGGAAGAGGAGGTAAAATTTCAGTTACTTTTAACGGGTTTGTCATAGAATTTTTGATGATGTATAGACAGATCTTTGGTGGTCAGAGCAAGGCGGTTTTAGTATGTACACCGAGTTTAACACTTTTTCGGGTTTCATATTAGGCAACTGTGGCATCAATGTAAATAGAGATGTTTTATTAAGATCACCCTACCACTCTTTTATTACGAAATATTGTTGCATGATCTCTGACTGGAGTGGTTTTTAACCTATAGTTGATATCCTGATTTTATGTCAAATTTCGATCATAGCCACTCGAAATTCGTCGCAATATTTCCTCGGTTACAACATGATTTCCTCGTTTAGTTTTTTCTCACTCGGAGCAGTATCATCTTCTTAGAAATATATTACCACATCATCACCGTGCAAGATTATTTTCTGTTTTCAACAAGGCTATTTATTAGCAAAGTGAATAGCAGTGGATCGATAGCTGGACTTTGTGCAACAGTACAGAAATACAAGAAGAAGATCTGTCTAGAAACCAGCCTGTATGGCATCATTCAATACTAATGTTCTTTTTTATTATAACAAAGCATGTTTTGAAGTTGCACATCCATCTTAACTATGGCATATTTTTGCATTCGCAGGGGATATGCTGCAGAGATATCAATGGTAAATATTGATTATTGCTGCCTTAGAAAACAAATGAGTTTTATCAGCAGCTGATAAAATTGCAATGAAAACAAGGTCGCTCGACAGGTTATGATGTTACAGCATTCTTTTATATCACATTTTCTTACCTATCATGTTTTGATACAGTTTACTCAAAACACAGTAAAGTGAGGTGTTCCATTTATCATCTTTACAGGTATTCCAGTGCCATCTAAAAATTTTCATTATTCATTGAATGTCGAATTAATATAGTTGTGATTGTGATTTTTCGATGCGTATAATTTCGAACGTGTTTTGAGTCATTTTAAGCCTGTTCTACTATGATAAAGTTGCTAGAGCTGGACAAGACTGTGCTCATTAAGTTTTCCAGCTCTCTATTAACTTCGTTCTTCCTCACAGCTCCGAAGACCGGATATAGACCTGCTGATCACTGATACTTCTCGGTTACAGTTTCAAAGTTCAGTGTTACATATTTTTACTCCAATTCATACATATATAGCCTTTTTAAGAGTTTTACAAATACTTCCCCGTGAGAAAATAAAGTAGGAATCACACCCAATAACTTGCTGGTTTATTTGCAATGAAATGTAAGGAATTGGTTCTCTTACTGACCAAATCTGTGAAATATTTGTAGAAGATCTGTTATCAAATGTTTTCCAAGGTGTTATCAATAAAAGAAAATCTGTTATCAATAAATTTGCCGATGTTTTTCAATGAGTACCGTCGTTTGCATTAATTAGACAGGGAAGACAAAGGTGGTTAACAACGCACAATGAATACGTTTTACCAATCTTTACTTTCCATAATGCTACAATGGTTTTCGGGGTCAAGGGGAAAATATACCCGAGGCAATATCGCTGCCAGTGAACTATGATTGGTTTCAACTACTTTGAAGGAGAAAGTAATCATCTTCACTTTGACACGAGTTACAATTACATCAACTTTTCATTTAGAAATCTCACTTAAATTACTTTTTTCAAAATACCTTTTCCTTTATTCATTGATTAAACTAATAAAGCACATTAATGTTAAAGTGACCATGTTGAGTATTCTGATATCAGGTGTTTATAAGTCGAATACACGAGTCCAGTTTGGCACTTATTCACATCATTTGTATAATAAAAAATTGATTACTTGGTATAATATGTCCCTGACTTGGGCAGATTATGGTAGGATTACGTCTCAACACTGAACGTGTAGCTCAGTTTTGCTGTGTTGGCCTTTTGGCAGAATGTGACAGATAACACCAAAATTTTACAGAATCGAGAGCCATAAGGCAGCAGTAATGACTAAAACGCACCGCGCAGTTCTGCTGATATTTGGTAGCAAACGTCATGTTAACGCAAGTCAAAATTATTGTTAATTACGTTGCACGTCGACTTTTTTCTGTTAGACTTTACACCGTTGCCCTTTTAGGCGTCTGATATTCTCAGCTAACGTTTTGATCTATGCATGAACTCGTATGAGCTTCGGCCAATTGGAGACTTCGGCCTTATATCATAATTGATGACATTTTCAAGTTCTATGTTTATCGACAAAGAGACTTTTGCAGTCTGACGACGTTCACTGTCTTCTTTGACTGGTGACAGTATAGCTTTTGTTGGCCATAATTCTTCTGTAGTTTGTAGAAACTCTGGCCCACGCATCCATCTTCCATTTAGTTTATGCACATAAGTCCCTCATGACAGCTCGTCTGTTACATTATTTTCCTCAGGAATGTGTTTCCACTTGCTAGGGTCTGAATTGCTTTGAATCTTTCCTATCCTGGATGATACAAATGGTTTGTAAGTGCGTAATGGACTTTGAATCCAAGCCAATGTTATCGAGCTGTCTGTGAAGAAATTATCATCCTTGAATTCGATCCTTGATTCTTCTTGAATCGTTTCTGCAAGACGTGATGCAAAGACAGCAGCTTGTAACTCCAAGGGTGGTATTGTTATCTATTTTAGTGGTGCAACTCTTGGTTTGGCAGCAACGAATCTAATATCAAATTTGCCATTTTAAATCTTCTGTCGAAGGCATGCACATGCTCCAAAGGCCTCTTGTGACGCATCTGAAAACAAACACAATTATGGTCTCTCTATAACATCAGCTGTTAGCAATGTTCTCCTTGTTCAGCTCTTTCATTTCTTCAAACAGTTCAATCCATTTCCTTTGCATATTTGTAAGAATTTCGTTATCCCAATCAATTCCACCCTGCTATTGTTCCCGTATTTCAATCTTTGCTCTGATAATGCGCAGCAGTTGGGTCGTAAATCTTTGCAATTTCAGACAGTATTCTTCTTTTGCTTAGTGCTACCTTCTCCTTTGGATGCTTTCTTTATCAATGAGTTTCATCAAATCAGAGTCTTCTTTAAATGACAAGGAATTCCAAGTACTCTCTCATCTGCTTCTTCTTTTAACATGTTGTTTGCATCGGTCTCTACTGTATGCTTGCTATTTTCATGCAATTCTCTGTTTGAAACCCATCCTACGACTTGGAAAACTCAGTTCTTTAAACAAAATCTATGTCCTCTGCAAGCTTCTTTGCTTCTTCTACCGTTTCCACTGATTCACATATATCGTCCATGTAAACGTTTTCTGTTAGCACCTTTGCAGCTTTCGGTTTCATTTCTTTACATTCTTTTGCAGTCTATCTCAAAGCAATCTGTGCGATCCTTGGAACTGGTTTGTCATCAAATGTAAGAACTGTCTTGATATAAACATCAGGCTCTCTGTGTGTCTCT